CAGCATGAAACATGTGTGCAGCATGAAACATGTGTGCAGCATGAAACATGTGTGCAACATGTGTGCAGCATGCAACATGTGTGCAGCATGAAACATGTGTGCAGCATGAAACATGTGTGCAGCATGAAACATGTGTGCAGCATGAAACATGTGTGCAGCATGAAACATGTGTGCAGCATGAAACATGTGTGCAGCATGAAACATGTGTGCAGCATGAAACATGTGTGCAGCATGAAACATGTGTGCAGCATGCAACATGTGTGCAGCATGCAACATGTGTGCAGCATGCAACATGTGTGCAGCATGCAACATGTGTGCAGCATGCAACATGTGTGCAGCATGAAACATGTGTGCAGCATGCAACATGTGTGCAGCATGCAACATGTGTGCAGCATGCAACATGTGTGCAGCATGCAACATGTGTGCAGCATGCAACATGTGTGCAGCATGCAACATGTGTGCAGCATGAAACATGTGTGCAGCATGCAACATGTGTGCAGCATGCAACATGTGTGCAGCATGAAACATGTGTGCAGCATGCAACATGTGTGCAGCATGCAACATGTGTGCAGCATGCAACATGTGTGCAGCATGCAACATGTGTGCAGCATGCAACATGTGTGCAGCATGAAACATGTGTGCAGCATGAAACATGTGTGCAGCATGAAACATGTGTGCAGCATGAAACATGTGTGCAGCATGAAACATGTGTGCAGCATGAAACATGTGTGCAGCATGAAACATGTGTGCAGCATGAAACATGTGTGCAGCATGAAACATGTGTGCAACATGTGTGCAGCATGCAACATGTGTGCAGCATGAAACATGTGTGCAGCATGAAACATGTGTGCAGCATGAAACATGTGTGCAGCATGAAACATGTGTGCAGCATGAAACATGTGTGCAGCATGAAACATGTGTGCAGCATGAAACATGTGTGCAGCATGAAACATGTGTGCAGCATGAAACATGTGTGCAGCATGCAACATGTGTGCAGCATGCAACATGTGTGCAGCATGCAACATGTGTGCAGCATGCAACATGTGTGCAGCATGCAACATGTGTGCAGCATGAAACATGTGTGCAGCATGCAACATGTGTGCAGCATGCAACATGTGTGCAGCATGCAACATGTGTGCAGCATGCAACATGTGTGCAGCATGCAACATGTGTGCAGCATGCAACATGTGTGCAGCATGAAACATGTGTGCAGCATGCAACATGTGTGCAGCATGCAACATGTGTGCAGCATGAAACATGTGTGCAGCATGCAACATGTGTGCAGCATGAAACATGTGTGCAGCATGAAACATGTGTGCAGCATGAAACATGTGTGCAACATGTGTGCAGCATGCAACATGTGTGCAGCATGAAACATGTGTGCAGCATGAAACATGTGTGCAGCATGAAACATGTGTGCAGCATGAAACATGTGTGCAGCATGAAACATGTGTGCAGCATGAAACATGTGTGCAGCATGAAACATGTGTGCAGCATGAAACATGTGTGCAGCATGAAACATGTGTGCAGCATGAAACATGTGTGCAGCATGAAACATGTGTGCAGCATGAAACATGTGTGCAGCATGAAACATGTGTGCAGCATGAAACATGTGTGCAGCATGAAACATGTGTGCAGCATGCAACATGTGTGCAGCATGCAACATGTGTGCAGCATGCAACATGTGTGCAGCATGCAACATGTGTGCAGCATGCAACATGTGTGCAGCATGCAACATGTGTGCAGCATGCAACATGTGTGCAGCATGCAACATGTGTGCAGCATGCAACATGTGTGCAGCATGCAACATGTGTGCAGCATGCAACATGTGTGCAGCATGAAACATGTGTGCAGCATGCAACATGTGTGCAGCATGCAACATGTGTGCAGCATGAAACATGTGTGCAGCATGCAACATGTGTGCAGCATGCAACATGTGTGCAGCATGCAACATGTGTGCAGCATGCAACATGTGTGCAGCATGCAACATGTGTGCAGCATGCAACATGTGTGCAGCATGAAACATGTGTGCAGCATGAAACATGTGTGCAGCATGAAACATGTGTGCAGCATGAAACATGTGTGCAGCATGAAACATGTGTGCAGCATGAAACATGTGTGCAGCATGAAACATGTGTGCAGCATGAAACATGTGTGCAGCATGAAACATGTGTGCAGCATGAAACATGTGTGCAGCATGAAACATGTGTGCAGCATGAAACATGTGTGCAGCATGAAACATGTGTGCAGCATGAAACATGTGTGCAGCATGAAACATGTGTGCAGCATGAAACATGTGTGCAGCATGAAACATGTGTGCAGCATGAAACATGTGTGCAGCATGAAACATGTGTGCAGCATGAAACATGTGTGCAGCATGAAACATGTGTGCAGCATGAAACATGTGTGCAGCATGAAACATGTGTGCAGCATGAAACATGTGTGCAGCATGAAACATGTGTGCAGCATGAAACATGTGTGCAGCATGAAACATGTGTGCAGCATGAAACATGTGTGCAGCATGAAACATGTGTGCAGCATGAAACATGTGTGCAGCATGAAACATGTGTGCAGCATGAAACATGTGTGCAGCATGAAACATGTGTGCAGCATGAAACATGTGTGCAGCATGAAACATGTGTGCAGCATGAAACATGTGTGCAGCATGAAACATGTGTGCAGCATGAAACATGTGTGCAGCATGAAACATGTGTGCAGCATGAAACATGTGTGCAGCATGAAACATGTGTGCAGCATGAAACATGTGTGCAGCATGAAACATGTGTGCCATCATGCCATCATGCCATCATGCCATCATGCCATCATGCCATCATGCCATCATGCCATCATGCCATCATGCCATCATGCCATCATGCCATCATGCCATCATGCCATCATGCCATCATGCCATCATGCCATCATGCCATCATGCCATCATGCCATCATGCCATCATGCCATCATGCCATCATGCCATCATGCCATCATGCCATCATGCCATCATGCCATCATGCCATCATGCCATCATGCCATCATGCCATCATGCCATCATGCCATCATGCCATCATGCCATCATGCCATCATGCCATCATGCCATCATGCCATCATGCCATCATGCCATCATGCCATCATGCCATCATGCCATCATGCCATCATGCCATCATGCCATCATGCCATCATGCCATCATGCCATCATGCCATCATGCCATCATGCCATCATGCCATCATGCCATCATGCCATCATGCCATCATGCCATCATGCCATCATGCCATCATGCCATCATGCCATCATGCCATCATGCCATCATGCCATCATGCCATCATGCCATCATGCCATCATGCCATCATGCCATCATGCCATCATGCCATCATGCCATCATGCCATCATGCCATCATGCCATCATGCCATCATGCCATCATGCCATCATGCCATCATGCCATCATGCCATCATGCCATCATGCCATCATGCCATCATGCCATCATGCCATCATGCCATCATGCCATCATGCCATGCCATCATGCCATCATGCCATCATGCCATCATGCCATCATGCCATCATGCCATCATGCCATCATGCCATCATGCCATCATGCCATCATGCCATCATGCCATCATGCCATCATGCCATCATGCCATCATGCCATCATGCCATCATGCCATCATGCCATCATGCCATCATGCCATCATGCCATCATGCCATCATGCCATCATGCCATCATGCCATCATGCCATCATGCCATCATGCCATCATGCCATCATGCCATCATGCCATCATGCCATCATGCCATCATGCCATCATGCCATCATGCCATCATGCCATCATGCCATCATGCCATCATGCCATCATGCCATCATGCCATCATGCCATCATGCCATCATGCCATCATGCCATCATGCCATCATGCCATCATGCCATCATGCCATCATGCCATCATGCCATCATGCCATCATGCCATCATGCCATCATGCCATCATGCCATCATGCCATCATGCCATCATGCCATCATGCCATCATGCCATCATGCCATCATGCCATCATGCCATCATGCCATCATGCCATCATGCCATCATGCCATCATGCCATCATGCCATCATGCCATCATGCCATCATGCCATCATGCCATCATGCCATCATGCCATCATGCCATCATGCCATCATGCCATCATGCCATCATGCCATCATGCCATCATGCCATCATGCCATCATGCCATCATGCCATCATGCCATCATGCCATCATGCCATCATGCCATCATGCCATCATGCCATCATGCCATCATGCCATCATGCCATCATGCCATCATGCCATCATGCCATCATGCCATCATGCCATCATGCCATCATGCCATCATGCCATCATGCCATCATGCCATCATGCCATCATGCCATCATGCCATCATGCCATCATGCCATCATGCCATCATGCCATCATGCCATCATGCCATCATGCCATCATGCCATCATGCCATCATGCCATCATGCCATCATGCCATCATGCCATCATGCCATCATGCCATCATGCCATCATGCCATGCATCATGCCATATGCCATGCCATCATGCCATCATGCCATCATGCCATCATGCCATCATGCCATCATGCCATCATGCCATCATGCCATCATGCCATCATGCCATCATGCCATCATGCCATCATGCCATCATGCCATGCCATGCCATCATGCCATCATGCCATCATGCCATCATGCCATCATGCCATCATGCCATCATGCCATCATGCCATCATGCCATCATGCCATCATGCCATCATGCCATCATGCCATCATGCCATCATGCCATCATGCCATGCCATGCCATGCCACGCTATGCTATCCCATGCCATGCCATGTGATGCGATGCAATATGAGAAACAGATTAGCTTATGCACATGCAGCGGGTTTGCATAGTAACTGCAAACGACCAGATGCAAAGGAAGTTGTGGTACGTGTGCAAGTGCAAGGAGACGAATTTTGAGACGTCTCAAAGTGATTGATGTATAGCCCTAGAGCATATTCGACCTTTCCTCCGCCGCCCACCTGCCGCCCACTTGCCGCCCACCTACCGCCCACTTGCCGCCCACCTGCTGCCCACCTGTGCAGCTTTTGATAAGCATTTTGGGATCATCACAGCAGCAAACTGCCAGACTTGGCTAAAACACACGTACTTGTCTGTGGTGCCGAATCTCTTGGGCGAAAAGGGCCTGGGCAGTTGTCTGGTGCCATGGCCGCACACGTCCTCACTGGAGCGCAGAAGAGACAAATCCCTGCCGTCCATGCTGTACCAGTACCCACTGTAGTGCCCGTGGGTCGTCGTGGTGACTCTGCCCCCACTGTCACTTCCGGCACCACCATCAGCAGCATCAGTGCCAGCAGCAGTAGCAGTGGAGGAAGAAGAGGGGTTGGGGAGGCCGATGGGCGACCAGAAGTGGCAGGCGCGGCGGACCACGAGAGCACAGGCGAGGGAGTTTGAGTCGGCGATGAGGTGAGTTGCTGGCACGCCCTGGTGGGTAGGTAGGGGGCAGGGGTGAGCATGTTAAAATGAGACCAAAGATGGGAAGATTAGGGATTGCACAGCTAGGGATCTGACCACGAGGGCACAGGCGAGGGAGTTTGAACCCGCAACGAGATGAGTTGCTGGCACGCCCTGGTAGGTAGGTGGGTAGGGGGCAGGAGCAAGCCAGTCGCACCAGCTAATTCTTAGACGCCTCAAGAAAAATACCAGAGGTCGGGGGAATACGGATTGGACGACCAGGGATTGGACAACTAGGGATTGGACGACGAGGGATTGGATGATCAGGAATTGGAGGGCCAGAGAGTGGACGTTGAGAAGACTCAGAATGTAACACAAATGAGCACATGAGGGGAGTGTGGGTATGAGTCTGAGTCGTGATCGTGGGTTCTCTTGCTAGCCCATCGATTTAACACACCCGTCAACCCAGGTGATTGTTCAGCAGAGGTGAGCAGAGGTGAGCAGAGGTGAGCAGAGGTGAGCAGGTGAGCAGAGGTGAGCAGAGGTGAGCAGAGGTGAGCAGAGGTGAGCAGAGGTGAGCAGAGGTGAGCAGAGGTGAGCAGAGGTGAGCAGATTGGAGGTCCAAAAGCGCTTCCAACATCGAGCAAGCAGCACCCACCTGGAAGCCACTGACGATTCGCCACGACGGCTTCTTCCGTAACTCGGTAACCCACTTGTCGCGATCGCCCCGAACCGCCCTCCGCCTCCTCCTCCGCTTGCCCCTGTTCTTCCTCCGCCTGCCCTCATTACTGCGCGTCCCCTCTTCCCCATCTTGCGCCGCTTCCGCTTGTTGCTCCCCTTCTGTCCCGCCTCCCCCTTCCGCTCCGCCCTCTCCTTCCGCTGGGCTATCACCTTCCCCTTCCGCTGCGAGGACCTCCCCGTTTCCCTCCTCCGCCATCTGCGCATCCCCGCGGGCAATAGCTCCGGAATCGACGTCGAGCGCGAGGTCCGCGGAAGGGTTGGCGGAGGATGGGCGGAGCTGACTCAGCAGGGCTTGGCGGAAAGACCCTGAGAGCGCAAACGCGGCAAAACCAAGGAGCGTGATTACAACGGTGCCGGCTAAAAGAACGACGCGCGCGCCGCGGGGGATCTTGTGGAGGGAGGGGTGGTGCGCCTTGCGCTCGGCGTCGTCCGCGCGGAAGCTCCCGCGATGCTCCGCGGACAGGGCCGCGGGGAAGGCGCCGGCTTGCCCTCCCCGCGACGAGGACCTTCTCGCCATCATGGCGCCCCCGTCAGTCCAGCGCGCTTGTTTTTGAATCGACTCAAAAACAGATTCTCGCCATCATGACGCCCCGGCCAGTCCAGCGCGTTCATGCATCCATGCAGTCATGCATTCATGGATACGTTATTCGTAGATGTATGGATTTAGTAACGTTGGGACGTGGCTCGTGCATTCATGCTAAGACTCGGGCCATGGCGGTGCTCAAAGTCGCACATTCATACTACGGCTCGCATTCGGCCATCGCATTTCGCGCTAATCAGCGGATTAATCGCAGTTGACTGGGATAACGGGTCTGCCCTCTGGTAAGTTTCTGGGCCAAAACTCGGTGCGCTCGCGATTGACAAGGTTTGGGTTTGCTTCTAAGCGAAACTGTACCGCTCTCACTCATGGTTGCTTGTGGGTGGTTGTTGAGGGGTGAAGGAACGAAGCGTTGGAGGTTGGAGAGCCACAGGAGTAACAATTCATGCGACAAAATATGGGCCTCACGAATTGGGGACTGGGTCGTTTGGGTCTCGCCTCCCCAAGCACGTTGCGGGACGAAGAGTTACCGCAAATGAATCGGCCTCTTTCTGGCTTGACGAAATGCTTCTGGCTCACAGTCCGAAATTGCGAGAGTCCAAATCAGGCACCAAGTAGTGACTTAGAATTTGACGAATGGGCGATTGATACAATGCGGGTAACCCTATTCAAGCCCCATTCAAAAGTACCTCAATGCCTGAAATTTGAAATAGATCCATCGTCCGTTCAAGGTGACCATTTTTCAAGCAACGATATTTTCGCCGACGTGATGGCGAACAGCACGAAACGTGACGGTTCGCTAACCGGAGATGTGCTTATAGAGGAGGTCTTCGGTCGCGGTCCGAAAGCGTCGCGTACAGCTGTTTGGGTCGAGGAGACCAACACCAGCGGCAGCGGCGGCGGCGGCGGCGGGGATGGCAGCAGTACCAGCAGGGTGCCTGCGGCGCTCGCTGGTCTCATGGACGCGCCATCGTCCATTCGCGTTCTCAAGTACGCCTCGACCCCCCCGTTCGCGTAGAATCGCCTTATTATGGCGTATCGCTGCTCGTTTCGCGTGAGTGTATGTTCGTAGCGCGTCTCGCGGCTCCTTTACGTCGGATGCGATCAGACTGCTTGTCGACTGAGGTGGCTTTTGAGTCGACTCGAAGTCAACTCAGTGTACGTTCGTAGCGCGTCTCGCTGCTCTCTCACGTCGGGTGCGATCAGACTGCTTGTCGAATGTGGCTTTCGCCGACGCCAAGCGGTCTAGACTGCCCTGTCTGTGGTCTCACTTGCTCCTTTTCGGCCCTGCCGTTCCCCCTCACCTTAGATTCGGAACTCTGAGTTAACTCAAAGGTCACTTGCGCCTGTTCCGCCTAACCTCCGTGCTCCGCCATTCCCCGCGCCTAACTTCCGCGCTCCGCCGTTTCCCCAGGTCCGCGCGTGGTAGTGGCTCGCTCGGCTCGCTCACGCGCACACTGCGCGGCGCGTTCCTGCCAGAGGTGCGCGGAGAGGGGAGGAGAAGGGAAGGGGGTCGATGCTGCCAGGAAGGAAAAAGAGGTGCAGGAAAAGCGATTTCTTTTCCAGGGAAGAGCCTCTACCCACACAGCCTTGTTCTTTTGTCTCACCAGTCGTTCTAAGCCAGATGCACGCCATGTAGCTACACGTATCAGGTCACGTGTCAGTCAGGCCATCTCTCAGGCCACATGTGCGTGGTCAGACGCACACAGTGCGTGGTCAGACGCACACATGACGCCCGTGGTGGGGCAAAGGTTCTTCTTTAGTGCGCTGAACCGAAGGTGCCCGTGTGCATTTCTACTTTCTCCTTCCTTTTCCTGTTTTGTTCGCTGTTGCAGGGTTACCCTGAGAGTGTTACAGACGACTATCTGGCGTTTCAAACGTGGGATACCCTCCAGGTGATTGTAACACGCCTCAAGAATTGTGAGACGTCATGACCCACGTGGTCGCCATGACCCACGTGGTCGCCATGGCCCACATGGTCGCCATGACCCACGTGGTCGCCTCTTCCCATTCCGTCCTCATCCATTATCCTTGCTCATGGAATCTCTTTTCTTTAGTGCATGCCATCAGTGATCATTGCACACCTACCACCATCACACCATCACCCTGTCTTCTCTCATCATTCCATCTCCTCTCTTCCGCATCTCCCCTTCTCCGCCCCGCCCCGCCCCCTCCTCCCCCTTCCATTGCAGGGACTGTCGACGTACATCCGCAGCATGCTATCCACGCAGGTACATCCAGCATATATCCGCCTCCCTGCCTCCCTGCCTCTCCGCCTCTCCGCCTCTCCGCCTCTCCGCCTCTCCGCCTCTCCGCCTCTCTGCCTCTCCGCCTCTCTGCCTCTCCGCCTCTCCGCCTCTCCACCTCTCCGCCTCTCCGCCTCTCCGCCTCTCCGCCTCTCTGCCTCTCCGCCTCTCTGCCTCTCCGCCTCTCCGCCTCTCCGCCTCTCCGCCTCTCCGCCTCTCCGCCTCTCCGCCTCTCCGCCTCTCCGCCTCTCTGCCTCTCCGCCTCTCCGCCTCTCCGCCTCTCCGCCTCTCTGCCTCTCTGCCTCTCTGCCTCTCCGCCTCTCCGCCTCTCCGCCTCTCCGCCTCTCCGCCTCTCCGCCTCTCTGCCTCTCCGCCTCTCTGCCTCTCCGCCTCTCCGCCTCTCCGCCTCTCCGCCTCTCCGCCTCTCCGCCTCTCCGCCTCTCCGCCTCTCTGCCTCTCCGCCTCTCCGCCTCTCCGCCTCTCCGCCTCTCTGCCTCTCTGCCTCTCCGCCTCTCCGCCTCTCCGCCTCTCCGCCTCTCCGCCTCTCCGCCTCTCCGCCTCTCCGCCTCTCCGCCTCTCCGCCTCTCCGCCTCTCCGCCTCTCCGCCTCTCCGCCTCTCCGCCTCTCCGCCTCTCCGCCTCTCCGCCTCTCCGCCTCTCCGCCTCTCCGCCTCTCTGCCTCTCCGCGTCTCGACCTCTCTGCATCTCTTCCCCAGTCTCACACACCCCCCTTATCCTGCCCTGCGTCCCTCCCAGGTGCTGCTGGCAGGGCTGGGAGTGGGCAGCGCATCTGCATCAGCCATCAGTGCCACGTTCCAGGTCAGGCTTTCAGCGCTCCTTGCACCGCCTCAACCGCTCCTTGCACCCTGCAGTTTCAGTCAAATCACGAATAGCTGTTCGATCGGCCCTCCCTCCAGTACTTCTCCTATCAATCTGATTTCACGTCTCTGTCTCGCACCTCCTGCCCCGTCCTTCTCTGCAGTGGTTCGTGCGTGACTTCACAGGCATGCTTGGAGGGATTCTTTTCGCCATGTACAAGGTACAGTAATAGCACAGTAAATATACTATTACTATTGTTATTATCATTATCATTACTCTTACCACTTTCTTCACTGTATACACTCTTCAGCATGTACAGAATGCTCATTCTGTGCAGCTTTTCTCTGTACCTCCCGGCTATTTCCAATTGCGAATTGCAACTACATTTCTTTCCAGTAGCGACGCTTGTGCATTTGCCCTTTATCTAATAAACTAGTTCCTTCCTGACCCTTCTTGTGACTCCCTTATTGTAAATCTTTAACCCCAAACCCCCCAGAAACCCGACTTGGCAAACCTGTAACCGCTGAAACCCTAATCCGAACCTTCTCTGTCGCTGCCTGCAGGGATCGAATCTCGACAGCAATGCCAAGCAGTGGAGGCTGGCTGCTGACGTCATCAATGATGTCGGTGCGCTGCTGCTTCTCTGCTCCGTGTCTTTGCCTTGCGTTCTTCCTTCTACCCCGGTTTCTCTCTCCTCCACTCTCCAACCTGTCAGACCTCCACATCTCAGCATTTCACTTCCTCCTTTCTCCAGCTTTCTACCCCCACGTTCCCCCCCCCCCCCCCCCCCCCCCTCTTCCCTCTCCCCACCTTTCTCCCCTTTCTACCACCCTTCCTCATTCTATTCGTTGTCCCCATCGTCCTCCACGGGTGTGCAGGGATGCTTCTGGATCTGCTCTCGCCCCTTGTGCCCTCCGCCTTCCTGCCGCTGCTCTGCCTGGGCAGCATCTCCCGAGCCATAAGTACGTCTATCAATAAAAATTCATAATTGCCTGAAAACAACAGCATCTCCCGAGCCTAGTGCACCTCTTTATTGAGGCTTAAGGTGCCTCAAGATGCCAGCATTTTACCCCGTCCCCCCCCCTCTTCCAACTGGCCCTTCCTTTCTGCTCAACCTGCAAGAAAGCGTTCTCCTTTTCTTATCATTTATATGCCATCCGTTTTCCGCTTCGTCCATCTAGTGTGATTGACTAGGTCTCACTTAGAGGTCATTTCATGACCCCCTCTCGCCTACTCTCCCACTCCCACTTCCTCATTTTTCAAACCTCAGTTACTCTCCCTTTTCTTTTTATCTCCCTTGATTCCTTCAGCCGGCACTGCCAGTGGGGCCACCAGAGCGGCACTTACACAGCACTTTGCTAAAAGGCAAAACGCGGCAGACATCTCCGCTAAGGTACCTTGTGGGCACTCCTTGTAGGAAAGTGCTAATGCAGCTGATTCGTTTCGCTCTCATGTCACGTGCCCTGAGCAAAGTCGTTTCTTTAACTGTGCGGCAAAAGGAGGAGAGGAGGGAGGAGGGAATAGTTATACCATATGTATCCTGCCCTCTCATCATGTATCCTGCATCCATTCTGGACCCATTCACACTGGCAGGAGGGCAGTCAGGAGACGGCAGCAACGATGGCGGGCATGCTGGCGGGGATGGTGGTGCTGTGAGTCATCTTCACAGCACACGTGCAAACCTATCATTCCCCCCCTCCCTTACTGCTTCTGCTTGCACACGTTGGCTGGCAGGAGGGCAGTCAGGAGACGGCAGCAACGATGGTGGGCATGCTGGCGGGGATGGTGGTGCTGTGAGTCATCTTCACAGCACACGTGCAAACCTATCATTCCCCCCCTCCCTTACTGCTTCTGCTTGCACACGTTGGCTGGCAGGAGGGCAGTCAGGAGACGGCAGCAACGATGGCGGGCATGCTGGCGGGGATGGTGGTGCTGTGAGTCATCTTCACAGCACACGTGCAAACCTATCATTCCCCCCCTCCCTTACTGCTTCTGCTTGCACACGTTGGCTGGCAGGAGGGCAATCAGGAGACGGCAGCAACGATGGCGGGCATGCTGGCGGGGATGGTGGTGCTGTGAGTCATCTTCACAGCACACGTGCAAACCTATCATTCCCCCCCTCCCTTACTGCTTCTGCTTGCACACGTTGGCTGGCAGGAGGGCAGTCAGGAGACGGCAGCAACGATGGCGGGCATGCTGGCGGGGATGGTGGTGCTGTGAGTCATCTTCACAGCACACGTGCAAACCTATCATTCCCCCCCTCCCTTACTGCTTCTGCTTGCACACGTTGGCTGGCAGGAGGGCAGTCAGGAGACGGCAGCAACGATGGCGGGCATGCTGGCGGGGATGGTGGTGCTGTGAGTCATCTTCACAGCACACGTGCAAACCTATCATTCCCCCCCTCCCTTACTGCTTCTGCTTGCACACGTTGGCTGGCAGGAGGGCAGTCAGGAGACGGCAGCAACGATGGCGGGCATGCTGGCGGGGATGGTGGTGCTGTGAGTCATCTTCACAGCACACGTGCAAACCTATCATTCCCCCCCTCCCTTACTGCTTCTGCTTGCACACGTTGGCTGGCAGGAGGGCAGTCAGGAGACGGCAGCAACGATGGCGGGCATGCTGGCGGGGATGGTGGTGCTGTGAGTCATCTTCACAGCACACGTGCAAACCTATCATTCCCCCCCTCCCTTACTGCTTCTGCTTGCACACGTTGGCTGGCAGGAGGGCAGTCAGGAGACGGCAGCAACGATGGCGGGCATGCTGGCGGGGATGGTGGTGCTGTGAGTCATCTTCACAGCACACGTGCAAACCTATCATTCCCCCCCTCCCTTACTGCTTCTGCTTGCACACGTTGGCTGGCAGGAGGGCAGTCAGGAGACGGCAGCAACGATGGCGGGCATGCTGGCGGGGATGGTGGTGCTGTGAGTCATCTTCACAGCACACGTGCAAACCTATCATTCCCCCCCTCCCTTACTGCTTCTGCTTGCACACGTTGGCTGGCAGGAGGGCAGTCAGGAGACGGCAGCAACGATGGCGGGCATGCTGGCGGGGATGGTGGTGCTGTGAGTCATCTTCACAGCACACGTGCAAACCTATCATTCCCCCCCTCCCTTACTGCTTCTGCTTGCACACGTTGGCTGGCAGGAGGGCAGTCAGGAGACGGCAGCAACGATGGCGGGCATGCTGGCGGGGATGGTGGTGCTGTGAGTCATCTTCACAGCACACGTGCAAACCTATCATTCCCCCCCTCCCTTACTGCTTCTGCTTGCACACGTTGGCTGGCAGGAGGGCAGTCAGGAGACGGCAGCAACGATGGCGGGCATGCTGGCGGGGATGGTGGTGGGGCAGCTGGTGGCAGGCAATGTGGTGCTTCTGTGGACCGTCTTCCTCGCCCTCACCGCCTTCCACGTCTATGGTACAGTGTGGGAGTGCCTTGCTGTGTGCGTGCTGGTGGGCGTGCTGTGTGCGTGCTGCCTGCCATGCTGGCGGGGATGGTGGTGGGGCAACTGGTGGCTGGCAGCGTGGTGCTGCTGTGGGCTGTCTTCCTCTCCCTCACTGCCTTCCATGTCTACGGTACAGTGCGGTTCGGCATGCTGTGTGCATGCTGTCTGCTGGATTGGGGTCGAATCTATACTTTTCTGGTTGTGCATGTAGCTCACTGCTCATTGCACCTCCTGTGTGCGTCGTCGTTGACTATTATTCTCCCACATTCTCTCACATCCCTCACGGCTCGGATTCTCAGGCAAGTTTTAGGGCGCCTCAAAACTCGCTTACTATTCGTTCCCCACATTCTCCCTCATACCTCACGGCTCTCATTCTCATTCGCCCCACCCAGGCGCAGTCTCGTTTCGCCTTCCCTTGTGCCACAGCCAGTCGTTGCCTCTCGAGGACCGACAATACCCCCAGCGAGTTATCCCCCCCCCCTCCCCCCCTCCCCCCCTCTCCCAAAGTGACTTTTGAGTCGACTCAAAAGTCACCGCCTTCCCTTGTGCCACAGCCAGTCGTTGCCTCTCAAGGACCGACAATACCCCCAGCGAGTTATCCCCCCCCGCCTCTTCCCCACCCTCCTCCCCTCCCTCCGCGCCTCTGCCCTTTGCTGCAAACAGATCAGCCAACTTGTTCTATGCCTGTGCCGTGGATGAGGAGCATTATTGCATACAGCAACAGTGCTGTGAAGTGAATCAGTTACTGTATGCAACAAAGCCTCCAACGTGAATCAGTGTTGCACAACAATGCTGGAGTAGCTTTTTAGAATTCTCAAACATGACTCCAACGTTGATGAGGAGCCTGTGAATCTACAACGTTGATGAGGAGCCTGTGAATCATTTATGTAACAATACTCTCCGCTTCTCCTCCCCCTTCCACAACCCCCCCACAACAACCCCCCCTCCTCCCTTTTCCAACACTGCAGCCAACAACCCTACTGAGAAGAGCATGTGCCTTGCTCACACTGGAAAATGCTGCCCGCTTTTACGCATTCCCCTTCCCCCTTACATACCCCTCAAAATCTCTCACTAGGCCCCCCACTTTGAAGAGAGCAGCCAACTACCGCGCTGTGAAGAGCCTGTGCCTCACAACACACACAACAATGCTGCCCGCATTTCCCCCCTCCACCACAACCCCTTCACAAACTCCAAAAAACCTCCCCGCAACCTCCACACCCCCCCGCTTTGAACAAAGCAGCCAAATATCGCGCTGTGAAGAGCCTGTGCCTCACACACACAGACAATACTGTCCCGCCTTCTCCCCACTTCCCCCTCTCAAATACACTCCCACTTCCCCCCTTTTCCAACAGAGCAGCCAAGTACCGCACGGTGAAGAGCCTGCACCTGACACACACAACAACACCACTCGCTTCTCCCCTCTGTGCCTCAACCCCGCCACACTCCTCCCGGCCCCCACCCCTTTCCAACAGAGCAGCCAATTACCGCGCTGTGAAGAGCCTGTGCCTCACGAGCCTCAATCGAGAGAGGGCTGCGCTGCTGCTGCTGGCGTACCGAGGCGATCAGAAGCGAGGTGGGGGGTACAGAGTGGTGCAGGGGCGCGCAGAGGCAAGGTGTGAGATGTAGAGGGGTGGAGGAGCGATCCGAGACAATTTTGGGGTTATAGAGTTGTGCCAGAGGCGATCAGAGACAAGGTGGGGGGTACAGAGGGGTGCAGAGGCAAGCAGATGCAAGGTGGGGGATATAGAGGGGTGCAGAGGCTAGCATATGCAAGGTGGGGGGTATAGAGGGGGGTGCATGGGTTGGGGATAAGGAAGCTGTGGAGTGTAGAGTTTTTCATGGTTGAGGGGTGAGCGATGGTGTAGGCAGTGCTGGGTATCTATCTATGGGGGTTCTTATTGCATTGTGCTCTAGTCTTGAACACTGTGTCTGGAAAGTCCCACTCCCCCCCACTCCCCCCCTTCTTCCCACTCCCCTCCATTCCCCCCCACTCCCCCCCACTCCCCCCACTCCCCCCCACCCCTCTGCAGTCCTCTCACCAACTGCTGTCTCTCTACAGGAGCGTCTCATTCCCTCCCTGCCTCAGGACAGCCACGGCAGGGCGCACATGCTCATGGGGCATGTGCACTTGGGAGCTCGGTTGAGTGACTTGCACGGCAAGAAACTGTACGTGGACACGTGATATATACATACATATTTATATACGCGCGCGCGCGCACACACACACATACACACACAAACACACACACACACAAACACACACACACACACAAACACACACACACACAAACACACACACACACACACACACACACACACACACACACAAACTTACACATACATATTTTGTTTCTTCTTTTGACCTTCCCGTCATCCTTATTGTTGGCTGCTCACCTGCCTTCCCGCCTCATTTCTCCTCACTTTGTCATGCCAGTTGCGTTGTGCCACGTCGTCTCGAATGCTTCACGCTGGCTCATCCTTCATCCTCTATCTTCCCTCTCGTCCTCACTACGGTCCTCGTTCTGCGCTCCTCTCCCCATTCCCTCCACCCGCTGTCTGCTTTACTTCCTGCCCTGTCGGCCCTCACCGTCTGCTCGTCGCCCCCCCACTAGAGACCTTGCGGTGCGGCAAGCCATCAGACGCTATGCCAAAGGTGAGCATGCAAGTCGCACACTCTGAGCATGCAAGTCGCACACTCTGAGCATGCAAGTCGCACACTCTGAGCATGCAAGTCGCACACTCTGAGCATGCAAGTCGCACACTCTGAGCCTGCAAGTCGCACACTCTGAGCATGCAAGTCACACACTTTGAGCATGCAAGTCGCACACTCTGAGCATGCAAGTCGCACACTCTGAGCATGCAAGTCGCACACTCTGAGCCTGCAAGTCGCACACTCTGAGCCTGCAAGTCGCACACTTTGAGCATGCAAGTCGCACACTCTGAGCATGCAAGTCGCACACTCTGAGCATGCTAGTCGCACACTCTGAGCATGCAAGTCGCACACTCTGAGCATGCAAGTCGCACACTCTGAGCCTGCAAGTCACACACTCTGAGCCTGCAATGTTTGTGAACGCCCTGAAACTCATGCACACGGCCTCTCATTCCACTCTGCCTCTTATCGCACCCTGCTTTGTTGTGCCCATCTCCATGCTGCCTCGTTCTGAATCGTTGCAACAGTGGTGTCTATTCTGTCCCTCCTCTCAACGCGCATTCCGCCTATGCCTTCTTGCTTTCTTGTCCGCATCACCTTCGATCCCAGCCGTCTCTGATGGCCTGTGCAATTCTGAAGTTGTCTCACCCCTTCATTTCTCAACGCAACACTCTGCCCTGAGCAAAAACGTACTCATATTCCTCCAAGTATATACAGCAATTCCTACGCTCCTCTCCCACTCTCTCCAATCTCTTGATCTCCATCCGCCTCAGGTCGTTACCTTCTGGTGTTCACACCCACAAGATCACCACCATTACAATCACAATCTCCACCATCGCCATCGCCATCATTGCCACATGTCCACGCCATCATTCATCGAGATGCATCGAATGCGGACGTGCTTCGGGCGTACATCCACGCTCTCACAGCCCTCCAAGAGGTCTGGCAAGAGGTTCGGAATGGAGCAGGCTCGGATACAGGCTTGGGAGGGAGTGGAGCTTCGTCGAGGCTGTCAGTAGTGGAGGCGGCGGAGGCTCGGGCAGCTGCCTGGATGGCGTCAGAGTATTCGCAGTTTATAGACAAGGTGAGCTTGAGTGTGGAGCATGCATGCAACTTCAATTTTCGGTTTACTAGTGTCCCCACCTTTTGCTCACCAATTTTGTAAGTTCTGGTGTTCATGATCTCTCTGTGCTTGTGCTCGAAGCTCTCCGCCGCCCATTGGGCAATCAATGTCGTGCAACTGTCACCAGGGGAATGGAGGGCAGACTGGCCGCAATCTTCTTTAGATTAGGCAGTCGGGTTTCGATTTATCAACAACCACTGCGTATGATTCTTAAGAAAATGATTATATTACTATTCTGTCTGTTTCCCCTCATTTAGTATTTTTTTAAGTGTTATTTGAAAGAGCTGGACTGCTACGGTAATAAGAAACTTTCTGGTTACCAGGAAGGGGGTTTATTCGCACAAATCTTGGATGGCAGAAGTGTTGCTGATGCGAGCGACAAGTGCGGGGTTTCGTGGCCACGGTGTTTCAAATGCGCCAGCTACTACCGTCCAAAATCTGGGCGCCAGCACTTCCCCCCCACGACACACCCTCCGCAAAACCCGCACGAACAAGCATCCAGCCACAGCCAAATCTATCACCCTTCCTTGTCCGAGCCGCACCTGGACGCGCCGCATGCCGCAATTTGAATACCACCCTCCTCCAGCCAATTCGGTCGTGCACGATTTCATCAGCATTCCAGTGGCAACAAGGGTTCCGCCTCTTCAAATTCGTCACAACCGTTAGGCGGTAGTGCTTAGTTGCTAACCACAAGAACAACCATTGATCAGTACGGGATTTGTTTTCAGGTTACGCTAGTTTCTCTCCACATATCAGGCCATCGACTTTAGTGTTTCTTCTGAACTAGAATTTAGTGTTTCTTCGCGAAGGAGTGAAAATGGCATCAAGAACAACGCTGCTATTCGTTCTGGTCCTACTCCTGCCTGTTTCATGTACGTTTACTGGAAGCGCCGATTTTATCTCGCAGATATCCTGTCCGAGTGGAGGGAACCACATACTTTTGTTGTTTTAATCATTCTCCCTTCTGCTCTCTCTCCCGCCTTTGCCTCTTCCTCTCACTGTGTCTGACGCTAAACATTATTTTCTATGCGATGCCTCCGTTATAACGCAGGCTCATTTGCGCAAACGCGGAGCGGCCGCGCGATCAACTGGGCGGCAGTCTTCAACACCACGCGATTGACGGCAGGGGTTCTTAGAGTACCCTACAGTAAGTCTGAAAGCTCGTGTTGAACTTACTTCAACAGATTATTCAGTCTACCACGACATGCAATGGTTTTAAAAACAAAAGTTCCAGGCGTCCGTTTCGTCCATGGCCCGAAACGGGGTGGACGGGGTGTTCTGTCGAGATGTTAAATCCACAAGAATCAACATGTTTCTCTAAACCTCCACACTCTCCCCCCACCTTTTTGGTTACAGAGGAGCTACACGCGAGCATGAACGGCAGCGAAATCGTCGCCACCACGGGCGATCAGCAGGCCACCGGCTGGGCCAACCTCGTCGTGTACAAGTGAGTGTGCTTCAAGCGCGTTAGCTCTTGCTACAATCGCTGGAGACAGAAATTCCGTGAGGCCGGTTTACGAAAGCTTCTTGCTCACGTCCGTTAGTCCTACCGCCCCTTTGGCCGCGTTTTCTGATAACTCTCGAAACAACCCCTTCGGCCCCTTCTTTTCCCCGTTGAATTCCTGGTCTCCCATATGCGTTTTTGCGCCCCTGATCCTCTCCCCTCAGCTAGCGCGGCGACTTCAGCCTCAGTTACATGGTAACCGTCTCACATGTCACCATCACCGAGGTGCCGGCCTCTCTCGCTCTCTCCTTACCCGCCGTCCTCGCATCCTCTCTCTCTTCCCGCTACTTTCTCCCTACAGGTGGCGCGGCGACTTCAGCCTTAACTATATGGTGACCGTGTCGCAGCTCACCAATACCGAGGGGCCTGCTCCTCTCACTCTCTTCTTACCCGCCGTCCTCTCATCCTCTCTCTCACTCTCCGCCCTACAGGTGGCGCGGCGACTTTAGTCTTAACTACATGGTGACCGTCTCGCAGCTCACCAACACCGAGGTTCCCGTTTCCGCCGCTATCCACGTGGCTCGGGCCCGCGCCAACGGCCCCGAGATTTTTCGCTTCGAAAAGGCCAACTGGCGCCGCTTCAACCCCAATGCAAAGCGCCTTGTAACGCGGACGACGCAGGGGAACAACTACATGCTTAGTGGAACGTACAGCGCGACGAGCGAGGATAAGATTGTATCGGGCGAGACTGTAAAGCAGCTGATTCTCGCGATCCTGAAGGACCCAAAGCAGTTCTACATCATCGTAAAAACGCCCGCGTACCCACTTGGCGCCGTTCGCGGGCAGCTTACAGTTAGCAGCGACTAGATTACCCTCAACGTGCCAACATAAGAGAGGGATCAGTTAGCGACCGAAGCATGAGCAGAGCATGAGCCAAGGCAGAAGACATCAGCAGCCGCCGCAGGAGGAGCGCAGCAGCAGGCTGTATCTGGGGAGCTGTGATATATTCCAGCAGATGCGGCCCCTTTCCGCCCTAGATTTCGGCGCAATCAAACACCATCAAGCGGGGTGCGGTGACTGGGAGCGAGTAACCCAAAACTAGGATATTGGCTGGGCGCGAAGGAGCTCCTCGTGAACGCGCCCTCCATGTTATACACAGATAGTTTCTTCGATACCTACGCCTTTAGTTGGCGATATCCGTTAGGCATACATAACGGAATGAGCGTTCTCTTTGTTATCTGCATTTAAGTAATCACACCACAAGTATTTCCTTGAGTGTACAACATACATCAGGCCCCTGTGTTTATTAGGAAGCAATATGCTTGCACGAATGCCACTGGGTGGCGGTGACGGCATGGGGGCATTCCTTCCCTTTCCCACCCCACCCCCCATCCATGGCCCTATTGCAGGGGCGTTGCACATGCTGTACACCCTGCCAATTCCCTCCCCACCCACGCCAGGGTTATGACATGATTGGGGGGATGCTGCCCATCTGTAACTGTGGCAGTTGCCATCCGCGCATGCGTAATCACACCAGACCAGAGGTTCCATGGGCATATGCTTTTCTGCCTCACCCGAACAGCCACCCATCCATAATTTGTCAGACGCCATAGAAGCTCCAATGCTGGATTGTTGCTTGCCCAGCCTTTCCTCTTCCTGGAGTAATCCTTAAGTGATTCCGGAAAGTGGGTTTTATGTGTTCTGTCCTAGCTCAATCCTCTGGACGTCCAGTGACCCCTCTGCACAGCAAGGTGTGTGTGAGGAGCGTACGGTACCTGGCATGCACCTCCGATCTTTTACTGTAAGTGGGTTTTTGTGAGTTGGCGGCTGGAACTAAGGCAACACAATAAATAGAATGAAATAAAGAAAACATACACGAATTTCTTCCAAGTCCCAGCACCCCCACCCCACGCCCCCCTCCCCAACCCACTTCCCCCTCCCAGCCACCACCCACATTCCCCTCCCAGCCGCCACCCCACAAGAATCAGCCATTAACACCTAAAAGCCCTTAAGACCCCTCCATCATCCCTCACGTCGCCAATGAAAATCACCACTACCGCCCTTTACTTGCCTTTGAAAATGCCTCTCTGATATTTGACGAGTACAGAGGCTCTTAAAGCGGCGCCTCGAGCACCCCGAGTAGGCGGCGTCTACTTAGCCTCAGCCATGAGCTTCTTAAAGTTGGTCTTGGACGAGTACACAGTCTGGGGCTTCCAGTTAGCGGGAATGGCATTTTCGAGGGTGATCTTCTCGAGCGTGTGTCCCGCAGTGAGGCGAACGCTCATCGCCTTCTTCGCGCCCACAACCTCCTTCGCCTCCGCGCCTGCGATCCCCCACACGGCCCTGCTGCCGTCGCGCGTCAGCTTCGCCCACTTCTTGCCGTCCGCGCTAAGCTCCACCTCGGTAAGCGTACCGGGGCCGGCCAGCCCCACCATCTGAATGTTGAACTTCTCCGCGGTAGAGTTGCTGCGCACGCGGACGCCCGATCCGACGGTCGAAAGGCAGTTGGTGCGCTTGTACTTGACGCCGACGGGGGCGGTGTCGGATCCCTGCACGATCTTGGACCATGAGACGGCGGAGAGCGTGAGCTGCTTCTCTGTGGTCGTCTCGCCAACGACGCGGACGGTCACGATCGCCTTGCCGCTGCGGCAGCGTTTTGTGTCGTTTGTGCACTCCACCTTGTAGCACGCGCCGCACCGCTTGCCAAAGAGCGCGGGAGGAAGCTTCGCCGTGAGCCCCTTGGCGAAGTAGGGGTTCGCGTTGTAGTTGCCGTAGTAGGCGCATGTGGAGTTCTTTCCTTCGCCCGAGCCCTTGCTCTGCCTCGCCGTCGCCATTCCGACGGCGCTGTTACTGATTTTAGTAGCATTTCCAGACTTAGTGGCGTTAGCAGGCGCTACCGAATTAGCAGAAGCAGTCGCGTTAGCAGGCGCTGTCGCGTTGGCGGAACCCGCAGCGGCAGAGGCGCGGGCAAGGGCAGAAAGGAGCATCGCGGAAGCGATGACGAGGACAATAAAAGTGGACTTAGCGGGTGAGTGGCCGAAGAAAGTCATTTTTGCTTCTAGGTGTAGACGGTCAAGCTGGTGCTATAAGCAGCTCCTTCTAGGTAGGATGGTAAAGATGTCAGGATTTCGTGAAGAGATGAGCGATGGTGACTGCTCTTTCTACTCTACTTCGAATTGCTTCGAGGAATGGCACCGTGAGTCGCGCACATGACTCTCACGGCTTTGGAAAAAATGGGTTGTTGGTGTGACCAACATTGTTTGCGAATAATTGTGGTGAGGTCGTGAACTATGAGTGATTCCGTTCACGAAGTAACGAAATCAGGTTCTAAAACCTCGTTCAACTCTTCGCGAAGAATAGTCTTGCGACACTGTATCACATGCACAACTTGTTTCGGTCTCTCGCGCATGCGACGGCGCGATAAGCGCGAATCTCAGGGAGGATGTGATTATTGACTGCACTTGCTGTTGAATATTCCCTAGAGCTGCTACATGAGCACCTACTATGATGTTACATGGTACAACTATTCAATGTACCTACATTTTCTCATAATGCTTGCATCCACACTCCAAATTATAAACGATTATTGGTTTCCTAGTATAAATCAGCGTAATAGTAGCGTCTACCTTTAGCACATAGTTTTGCCCAATGTTCCTGACTCTAATAATTGCCATAATATGACTCTCCTAGACGTGTAATGAAATGGCACGACCTCTGATATTCGAGATGCTATCGATGAGGTTTATTCAGGAGTGTAATGCTACTACACGTCAGCCGAGTTGAATGCGGTGCGTCAGAGGGAGAGGAGGAGGATCCAATCCAATGTGCCACGACTACCGAACCGCGTTTAGCCCAGCACGTAAAATGGCTGCTTCCGTGCCATCCCTGCAATTCTCACAAAAAAAAGCCGCAAGTGCTCTACATTGGATTCCACTCGAGGTCGGATCTAATTTGCCGGGGGCGCAATCAGAAAAATGTCTCACATTTACAACAGAAGTGCCTCAAGCATCGAACTGCACGACGAACCACAAGGAGCAAGAGACCCACGGGCCACGGCTCGAGACAGGACAGGCACATACGCGTGCCCTTTCGCTCGTTCCTTTTCTGAATTCGCGTTTTCCATTCGAGTCACCTCCCTTGTGTTATAGTCACAGTAGGCTCCAATGTGCCTAAAACGAAAGATAGAGTGCACAGCCGGATTTCTGCACAGCGGCTTCAAACGTTCATAGCGTTCTGGTCACAGCTTCAAATGACTTGATTCAACTTGGATCTGGAGCGTCTTATTGTCGCCTAGAATAGGAAATTTAGATCGCACAATTTCACCAAGTATTGACGACACAACGTCAGTTTGAACGAACGGCACTATGGCAGCCACTATAGTCTTAGAACATAAGATAGGAAGAGTTACGAGTTGGGAATGACTCCCAGCTCCTACAAACCCCAAGAGCCGAGGTACAGTGATGTGGAACAGTGCCACACTGTCCCCAACCACGAAGGGTCTCGAAACTACCCTTCACTAGGGCCTACACCAAGTGAAATGTTACACTACACAAAGTAATGTAACTATCTTCAATATCTTGAGGTGTACCCTTTTGGCAAGCTTCGAAATCACTTGAGGCTTGACACCAAGGCTCGGGCTCTTCATCACAAACTCATCCTTGAGTTATTGATGGGTCTGCTGCACACACCTGCGACACGCCGAACGTTCGACACAGGACAAAATAGAAACAGCGCACGACAAAATAGAAACCGCGCGCGAGACACAAACGACCGCGTAACACGCGTCTAGCGATAACTCGCTATTGACTCGACACACACACTCGACATCATGACTCAACATTCACACACAATTATAAGCATGAAATATATATTATCCCATGCCCTCATACCATTCCATACACACACATATTCACGCGCACACGGAGAACAAGCCGAGTGCAAACCGTAGGGTTGCACCAACACCTTGACTCGCGACGTAGACCATAGCAATTGACCGCAGCCGTGAATGGAGCTCGCACGCAACTCCACTCATAACGTCGTTTAGGCTTCGCGGTCTCATCTGGTTCGAGAGGGATCTTATTGTTCCGCCAGCGCCGGAGGGAGATTTGAATATCAAAGGAAATAATTGTCAGGAGCCATATTTTTCTTGGACTACTACCGACGACGTGACAACATTAACAGCACAGGCGTAAAATCGCGCCGAAACTGATAAGCAGCATGCGCGATACGACGTTTCCGGCCAACTCCGCACCTAATCGACGCCGGCGAGGCGCCTCGCCAACTCTTAGATTGGCCGCAACGCTACTAGGGACTCTTATTCTACCATCAATCCGTGAGTCCTCTTCCCTTGCAACTAAACCACAGCGAATGTTGAGATTTTCCTGGCAAAGGCAGAAGTCCCACGAACAAAAACGCGTGAAAATCTCCCTCTGACGTGAGAGAAAACAGTGTATGTCAATGAAATGTCAGTTCTCGCTAGCCCTATTCAGAGCCGACAAGATAAATAGCGTGTAGCGAGCCGATTTTTTTAATCAACTATAAATTCTGACATAACAACAAGCAGCATATGCCAATGGACTGTTAGTTCCTGTTGGCTTATTCCACTGCACACGTGGTGTTTTTTTGTTTTTTCTCTCTGGCATGGCATGGCATGGCACTCTCTGGCATGGCAGCATGTGCCTCTTGCACAATCATTTCCTTTCAACACATTTCGTGACACTGCGCGTCATGCTGGCGACGGATTTGGCGATCATTTAGGCGACTCAAACCTGTTGGCGACGGCTTCGGACGATTTTTTAAGCCGCAAAAACAATCACTGGCGACGGCTGGAAAGCGCCCCGTCAGTCCAGCGCTTGAATCCGCATACTCTCCTCTCCCCCTCTCAACTCCTTTTCCCCGCAACAGCGCCACCTTTGAGGCGCCTAAAAAAACTCCCCACACCAGCGCCGCAGCCCCTGAATCTCGCACACGCGAATCCCAGGCCGCGATCCTTGCTTTCGTGGCGGCTTGTGAGGCGCCTCACTCACACTCTCTCCCCCGTGCGCCAGCCAGGCATGCCTTTCCCCAAGGTCCTCCATCACACCCGTGCAATCGTCGCACTACAGGCAGCAACCCCTGAATTTCCTCGCGGCTTGTGAGGCGCCTCAAATATTGCCTTTATCCCCCTCTTCCCCACTCCCCCCCACGCGCCCGCCTGTCCTGTTTGCCCTCAGGTTCCTCCATCATACCCCTACAGTCATCTCCACATCAGTCCTGAAGTTTCTGGTTTAATTGTGAGGCGCCCTCGGATATTGCCTTTTTCCTCTCCTCTCTCACTGTCCCGTTGCGTCCGCCCTTCCACTTCTTCCCCGTACTCTTTCCCCCCTCCCACTCCCCCCCTCACTCACGCCCCTCAAGTCGTCGCATCTAAGGGACTTCCGGGATTCCCTGGCAGCGGCGGCGGCGGCGGCGGCGGAGGCGGAGGCGGAGGCGGAGGCGGAAGCGGGGGCGGAGGTGGAGGCGGGCAGCGGGACGTGAATATAACGGAGTTGCAGCAGAAACTGATCGCTGTTCCTTTCAGTGGATCCCTGGTCCACGTGGCTTCCTCCCTGCACGCCCACATGTCCAACGACCCCCCATATCCACATGTTCCTTCCCCTCACGTCTGTGCCTCGTCGTCAAGTGTCCTCGTATGTTTCCTGTGAATTTTAATCCCGAAACATATAACGAGCCTTCGTTTAGCGGGGCTTCCCACCCTGCCCTTCCCCTCCCCTTTCCGCCCCACCACACATACCCGCTCCTCTTCCACCCACTCCCTCAAACCAACCCACTTTGCCAACACTCGCGCCTTTTCCCACTCACCAATTCCCTTACCTCTCTTCCCCCCCTTGAATATCCCGCTTACCCTCGCCGACCCCTTCTGCTCTGCAATGTGCTGCCCCGTCCCCGCGTTGCGTCCTCCGCCTCGCAGGCTGAGGTGTTTGCTGCGAATGCGAGTCGCTCAGATTTAGCTGCTTCCCCGTCCCATGTCGCGTCGACTTGTTCGCCAGGAGAGGTGCACGGCACACTGTCTGGTGCGGATGCGAGTCGCTTTTGAGGATTCTCTGTCCAGTGCGGATGCGAGGTTTAGCTGTTTCCCCGTTCCCATGTCGCGCCGTCTTGTTCGCCAGGGGAGGTACATGGCACACTGTCTGGAGCGAATGTGGTTGGCAGCGCGGGCGACCGCGGGGCCTCGGGCAAAGTGACGTTTGTAATAATCAAGTGAGAGTACAGTATGCATCTCAGCCTTTTTTTTGTTATTGAATTGAGAATTGAGAAATTACGAGGTTACGCAGTTTACAAAGGATAATCACAGTGTACTAGTAGGAAGAAGCAGGAAACGTCAGGATCACTAAAATCTTATCTAGTAACAGCTCGTGCAAGCTAATGAGTATTGCCACTTACACTTAATTCCTGCTCCTTTCCTTCCACCCAACCCCCCCCTCCTCACTCCCCTCCGTTCCCCCCACCTCCCCTCCTTCCCCACATTCTAGCAATCGCATTTCATGACTCTTTTCTACATGGAAGCAAAATCTATCTCATTTTTGCAACCATGATACCACCTCTTCACTTCCATGTTACCACCCCATCCTTCCCTTACCTCCAGACCCCACATTCCTGATTCCCCATCCTCTCACTTTTCGTTATCCTGAGCTCGCTTTTCTTCCATCTCAACCCCGCCTCTCCCATCTCTCCCCTTTCTCCGACGTGGCAGATCAGGAGCAGATCTCAACATCCGCTACCAAGTCACAGTCAGCCAGCTCAGCACGTCAGAGAAGCCCACGTCAGCATCCCTCCACGTGGCAGCCGCCACAGCCAATGGCCTATCCATCCTCAACCTCAACTCGTCCACGTGGATCCCTGCTGGCACTGCTGACAAGGCGTGGGGCAACGTGGGAAAACTTTTTGGACGGGGGAAGGGGAAGGGAAAGGGGAAGGGGAAGGGTAAGGGGACGGGGACGGGCGCGGGGAATGGATTTGCGCTTCAGGGCGTGTTCAAGCAGGCGAGCAAGAAGAGGATTCCGACCGGGGAGTCGCTGAAATTACTGTTCTCGATGATCATGCGGGTACAGTACTAACGTGCCACTCCTTACAAGATATTGATCGCCAACTATACACCATGTTGCTGCATCCCAATGTCTCCCTGTTCCATGTGTCAAGGCCGCAAAACCATTGTCAACACGTAACAGCTTCCTCTCTCACTCGGTTGTGTCTTCCACCCCCTTCCCTCTCCCATCCCCTTCCCAACAACGCCCTCTCAATCACATTCTCTGTGGCTCTCTTCTCAGATATACCCTCTCGTCCCCCTTCCACCTCTTGTTCACCCTCCCTCCTTCCCCTTGACATGTCAGCTAGGTTCGGTCCTTCCCACTCTCCACTCCCTTCCCAGTTTGCTCCTTCTTCTTCCCCTTCCCCTCCCCTCTCACCACCCCTTTCCCTCCACGTCCTCATCACCACACCCTGCATAACCGCACACTCGCTCATCACCCTTCTTACCCCTTCCTCTCTCTCCCATTCTCCAGATGCCCACCGTCCCCAGAATCTGTTTTTGAGGCACCTCACGTCTTTCTCCAGATGCCTGCCTCCTTCGTACATCCTTGTCACCACACCCGCCTTCCCCAGAAGCGCCCTCAGAGCCCAGCTCAGAGCGATCGTTCTCACGTCCCGCGCCTCCACGTCATTTCCCACTCCGCCCTCCCCCGTCCCTCTCCCTTTCGGCAGATGCCTGCCTCCTTCTATGTGCTCGTCACCACACCCGCCTTCCCCAAGGGGGCTCTCAGAGCCCAGCTCAGAGCGAGATTCTCACATGCACTTTCACTTCCCTCTCTCCGCTTTCGTCCCCGTCCTCTCCCTTCTCCCCTCCCCCCTCCTTGCCAGATGCCCTCGTCCTTCTACATGCTCGTCACCACACCCGCATTCCCCAAAGGGGCTCTCAGAGCCCAGCTCAGAGCGAGATTCTCACATTTCACTTCCCTCTCTCCGCTTTCCCGTCCTCTCCATTCCCCCCTCTCCCCCTCCTGGCCAGATGCCTTCCTCCTTCTACGTGCTCGTCACCACGCCCGCCTTCCCCAAGGGGGCCCTCTAAGCCCAGCTCTGAGCGATCGTTCTCACCACCCTCTCCTCTTCCCCTCCACCCCCATCGCCCCCTGTGCCAGATGCCTTCCTCCTTCTACGTGCTCGTCACCACGCCCGCCTTCCCCAAGGGCGCCCTCAGAGCCCAGCTCGAGGCGTCCCTATTCACTAAGCTCGCAGGCTAGAGGAGTGTGAAGTGAAAGCGTGGTGTGCAATTGGTGGGTGCTGGGTCTCAACCTGTTTTGTACCAGACACTGATGGCACATGGTTGGGGTCACGAGACTGGTGGAGTGCGGTGGAGCATCGTGGAGCATGGTGGGGCATGGTCTCAAAGTTAGCGAACAACGGAATGATTGGAATAGAAACGAATGGGGTACAAATGAGCAACCCTAGAAACTGTACCCCCTAGAGTGCAACTCACTATAGCCTATCATATCAATGTTCAACATTTGACACACCCCCATAGGCTAAGTGAGGGGCATCAAAGCAAGCAAGGTGAACAAACGGTCACAAGACCAGTCAAAGCAAGAACCAAGGCAAGCTCAGGGTGGATCTCAAGGACACCACACAAATTCCGAGCGCAAGCAAGCGGCCACAAGGCCAGTTCAAGAGTTCACTAGGATATAAATACAAAGCACAACAAGCAGAGCAAGCAACATGACTACACCAACCGAGGGCCTACCTCAACAAGCCCCAACTGCACACAGAACCTGTGGTGGTCACCAAGCGCCAAGGCCTTGGTGAAGACGTCTGCAGTGTTGGCCTCTGAGGCCACAAAGTCCAGGCGTGCCTGACCGCGTCGCTGCAGCTCTCGCAGGAGGAAGTACCTCACGTCAATATGCTTCACTCTGCTCTCCAGTCGAGGCTCTCGACACAGGAGGATCATGGCCTTGTTGTCAGCGTACAAGGTCGGTGCAGAGCGAGGCCGCTCACCAAGGTCAGCGAGCAAAAAGGTCAACCAGCGAAGCTCTTGTGCCGCCATGGCACCAGCGTAGATCTCTGCCTCTGCACTGGAAGTAGCCACAGACGACGACCGTGTAGACCTCCACGACACAGCACCAGCTCCCAGACTGAAGCAGTAACCCTGAGTCGAACGTTGAGTCTCCACGTCGTCAGCGTAGGAAGAGTCGCAGTGACCAGTCAACGCCACTGGCTGAGTCCCTCCAAGCACAAGCCCCAAGCCTGATGTAGTCGCCAGGTACTTCGCCACCCTCACAGCAGCTGTCCAGTGGACAGGGCGGTGTCTCCCAGTCGCAACAAAGCGAGAAAGGATGCTGAGTGGAAAGGCGAGGTCCGGTCGAGTACAAGTCATCAGGTACATGAGGCAGCCCACCAGCTCTGCGTAGGGTCCACTGGACTCAAAGGGCTCGTCAGGAAAGGGGCCCGTGAGTCTGTGGTCAACAGCAAGAGGAGTGGGCTGTGTGGTGGAGAACTGGAAGTGGAACCGCCGAAGGACCTGCTGCACCATGTGTGACTGCGTCAGTGTGATGGTGCGAGCGGCTCTGTCCCGGGTGATCTGCAGGCCAAGGTAGCGCTGCAGCTCACCCAGGTCAGTGGACTTGTGTCTCTTCTGCAGTTCGGACTTCACCTGAGCCAGGGCTGCCCTGTCTGCTGTAGCAAACACCAAGTCGTCGACGTAGACAAGGATAAAGAAAGGAGTAGAACCCGCTCGAACAAACAGCGACGGGTCGGCGGAGGACGGGCTGAACCCAAGGTCACGAAGCGTGGAGCGAAGAGTGTCGTGCCACTCACGGGGCGACTGGCGGAGACCGTAGACTGGTCGCCTCAGGCTCCACTGGGTCCCAGGTGGGAACGTGTCAGTGAAGCCAGGAGGACGGTGCAGCCAGATCTCCTCGTGCAGTCGGCCCTGGAGGAACGCAGTGGAGAAGTCGAGGGAGTGCAGCTCGTAGTCTCGCTGCGCTGCTATGTGGAGTAACACCCGAAGAGTAGTCATCTTCGGGGTCGGGGCGAAGGTCTGGAAGAAGTCAACTCCCTCACGCTGACTGAAACCCCTAGCCACGTAGCGCGCCTTGAACACCGGCGGTGCTCCAGGCGGCCGCTTCACCTTGAAGAGCCACATGTCATCGACTACGTTCGCCCTGGGAGGGGGAACTGCGTCGACGTAGGTGCCTGTGGATCTCCAAGACGCCAACTCTGAGTCCATAGCCGCTTTCCACTGAGAGGCCCACGCCCCTGACACTGCCTCGCGGTAAGTGCGAGGAGTCGGTATGTCAAGGGCGTCGGGGTCTCCCTCAGGGGAGAGCAGCATGGCACACACAGAGGGAGAAGCGGCTGCCCAGTACTCCAGCTCGGACTCTCTGTCCTCTAGGACGTCACAGCCAAGGGCAAACCCACCCCCGACGGACAGAGGACGGTAGGGAGGAGCTGGCACCACACGGGTGGCGTAGTCAAGGCGGCTGGCGGCAGCAAACTCAGCGACAGCGGCAGTGAGAGCCGAGACAGACGACGGAGGGAAACGAGGGTCGGTGACAAGAGTGGTGAGGACACGAGCGGCAACAGGACGAACAGCGCGGTAGTAGTCAGAGATAGGAGTGGGGAGGGCAGGTAGAGAGGACGGAGGAGGAGACGGGAGAACGGACACAGGAGAAGGAGAACGACGACGAGACGAACAAAGGAGGGCAGTGTGGAGGTCAGTAACAGGGGACGAGTGACGAGCACGCGGAGGACAACGAGTGATCAAGTCGCGACGGACAGAGGGAGGAGGAGACTGAGGAGGAGGAGAAGACCAGACCGCCGGACGGTCGTCAGGAGGAGGCAACGGAGGAACAAACACAGGAAGAGACTGGGAGCGGACAGGAGGAGAGGAGGAAAGGCGCTGCGGTGGCGGCTGCGGCCACTGCGGCTGCGGCTGCGGCTGCGGCTGCTGCTGCTGCTGCTGCTGCTGCTGCTGCTGCTGCTGCTGCTGCTGCTGCTGCCGCTGCTGCTCCAGAAGGTCCAGCACCCGCAGCTCCTGCCGCTCCCTCTCCAACCGCTCCTGCTCCTCACGCTCACGCCGACGGGCAGCCTGGAGACGCGTGTCGTGGCGGTGGGGGGGCGGGGTGGACTCCGCAGAACCAGGGTCTCCAGCGTCAGTCTCCTCAGACTCAGCACCCCCAGAACCAGTACCGCCAGTGCCAGGACCTCCAACTCCAGCACCCCCAGAACTAGCACCGCTAGTGCCAGCACCCCCAACTCCAGCACCCCCAGAACCAGCGTCACCTGCGCCAGCACCTCCAGCTCCAGTACCCCGCGACCGAGCACCCCCAGACCGAGCACCGCCAGCGGCTGCACCTCCAGCTCCAACACCAACCGAGTCCACAGTAACCTGTCGCGGAAGTGCCGAAGGCTGCTGAGGGGACTGTGAGGAGGACTGCGGGGAGGGAGACGCTACCTGACGCGCGACCGAGGGGAGAGGGGTAGCGTGGGACACACCAGACGGGGCAGGACCAGGGGGGGGCGGGGGTACCGGAGGAGCGGGAGCAGGAGGAGGAGAGGGTGCGAGGAAGAGAGGGGGAGGGGGTACCGGGAGACCTCGACAGGGGTACCGGGTGTAGTAGGACACGGACTCGTCAAACCGGACGTCACGGGAATCTAGGAACTGGCGGAGGGGAGGGTGGTAAAAGGACCAGTCAGCAGAGTCCACTGGGAAACCAAGGAAGACACAGGGGACGGCGCGTGCCGAGAGCTTGTCCGCGGAGGTGTCGCGAACAAGTGCAAGGCAGCCCCAGACTCGAAAGGCCGACCCAACACCAGGGGATCCAGTCCAGAGACTGGTCGGTGAAGCCTCGGGCCGCGAGACACGCGGCTGGAGGTTCAGCTGGTGTGCGGCGTAGCGAACCGCGTGAGGCCACAGAAAATGGGGCGCACGGGCATGAATCATGGACGTGCGGGCGATGTCCATGACCAAGCCTATGCGGCGCTCAGCAACCCCATTCTGCTGTGGGGACTCTGGCAGCGTCCAGGACTGGGTGATGCCCTGTTCGCCGCAGAATCCGCCGAGAATGCCGGAGCGAAACTCGCCCCCACGGTCGGAGTGAAGACAACTGACTCGACGACCACGAGTGCCCTCAGTGGCTAGAAGCCACCTGATCAGCGTAGCAGTCACCTCGGACTTCTTCGCAAGAGGAAACACTGTGGTGTACCTGGAGAAGTCGTCGACGACCACCAGAAAGTAGCGCTCCCTCCCAGACCCCTGCGTCGGGGCAGGGCCCCAGACGTCCAAGTGGAGAGTCTCGAAGGGAGCGGTGGCCGGACGAAGGGAGGAGGAGTGGGGAGTGGCACGTAAGCGACCGGCGACGCACGGAGAGCAAGGAGGGGCAAGCGAGGGAGGGAGCGACGGGAAGGTGCGTGGGAGACCTGTGACTAGTCCCTGACTGAGCATGCCACGAAGGCGAGGGATCGACGGGTGGCCAAGACGGTGGTGCCACAGGACGGTGCGGTGGGCGAGAGAGCGACAGGAGCAAGACGCAGCGACTGGACTGGACACAGCGACCGGACTGGACACAGCCACCTGACCGGACTCTGCTACCGGGGGGGACGAAGCAACCTGACCAGACGCAGCTACCTGCGGGGGCGGAGTGTGCAGGACGAAGAGACCTGAGTGGGGCTCTCTGGTGAACGTGGCAAGAACTGCCCCGGTGGAAGAGTCCGTACAGATCGCAGTCCTCCCGTGCGCAGGAAAAGTGACTGTGATCCCCCGGTCCTGAAGGTATCCAACACCCACCAAGTTCCGAGAGAACGAGGGGATGTAGAGACCAGTGAGGAAACCAGAGGGGACAGCCGGGCACGGGAGGGTGGTCGAGCTACGAGCAACTGCTGGTCCTGAAGTAGGATCAGCCAGGGCAACTGGGACTGGAGCCGAAAGAGGTGTGACAGTGGTGTGGTCGCGGAAGAAACACTGAGACGCGCCGGAGTCCAGCGTGAAGGAGAGCGACGCAACAGCAGTCGTCACGGCTGGGCTAGTGACTACACAAGCACCTACACTAAAAGCACAAGTACCGACACTAGCAACAGGCAAAGGTCCTAAGCTAGGTACACGTAAGCCAAGAGATCCGTACGTGACAGAATAAACAGCATCCATGGACATATCAAACACAGGGAAACCACTACGAAACAGACCGGGCCAGATCGGGGGAGCCGACTCAGGCCCAAAACGCTCACGGTAAAGGTCGTCGAGGCGGCTGTAGCAGCGCTGTGCAGAGTGGTCAGGACTCCAGCAGGTAGTGCCAGCACCAGGGCCGGTCAGGATCCGGTACTGGCAGGGGCCGACGTCGCGGCCACCGCGACGAGCCCCCCAGCTGGCTGGGCCGCTGCTGCAGCCAACGCGACCTGAACCACCAGGCCCCCATGGCTGCTGAGGGCGCCACAGCTGCTGAGGGCGCCCCTGCCGATGCGGAAGCCACTGCTGAAAAGGCCGCTGCTGCTGTCCCTGCTGCTGGAGAACCCTAGTGGACTCCATGATAAAAGCTAGCGGGGTGCAGGAGCGGCAGGCTAGGAGCGACAGGATCGACAGGCTGCTGTGAAAAACGAGAACAACTAGGAGCGCAAGGTGAAACCAGGCGAGTAACTGCTGGAGCACGGAGCGAACTAAGCTAGGAGCGCCAGGTGAAACCAGGCGAGTAACTGCTGGAGCACGGAGCAAACTAAGCTAGGAGCGCCAGGTGAAACTAGGCGAGGAACGGCTGGAGCACGGAGCAAACTGAGCTAGAAGCGCCAGGTGAAACTAGGCGAGGAACGGCCGGAGCACGGAGCAAACTGAGCTACGAGCGAGGAGCGAGAACGGCTGGAGCGAGAACGACTGGAGCTAGAAGCGGCGAGCTAGGGCTGGCTGGAGGTAGGAACGGCCGGGGCTAGAGACCGTAAGTGCGGCTGTCGGCTGCCGCTAGTAGAGCCACTGGCAGTGGAAAGTACGTGCGACAGTAGGGGCTGCAGTACTGACGGCTGCGGGATGTAGGCAACTGTGCAGGTCGTCCGTCAAGCAGGAACGCGGGCGACAGTCGCAGGCCCCCACTGTGAACCCTTTTTTTTTTTTTTTTTTTTTTTTAGGGTTTAATTAATTTATTTATTTTCTGGCACTAAAGCACCCCGGGGCGCGCTGCCTGCAGGGTGTGCTGCCTGCGGGGCGCGCTACCCGCGGGGCGCGCTACCCGCGTGGCGCGCTGCCTGCGGGGCTGGGGTGACGAGCCAGGGAGGGCGCCTGGGCGACGGGCTAGGACGGGCGCCTGGGCGACGGGCTAGGACGGGCGCCTGGGCGACGGGCTAGGGCGCAGGCCTGGGCGACGGGCTAGGACGGGCGCCTGGGCGACGGGCTAGGGCGCAGGCCTGGGCGACGGGCTAGGGCGGGCGCCTGGGCGACGGGCTGGGGCGGGCGCCTGGGCGACGGGCTGGGGTGGGCGCCTGGGCGACGGGCTAGGGCGGGCGCCTGGGCGACGGGCTAGGGCGGGCGCCTGGGCGACGGGCTAGGGCGGGCGCCTGGGCGACGGGCTAGGGCGGGCGCCTGGGCGACGGGCTAGGGCGGGCGCCTGGGCGACGGGCTAGGGCGGGCGCCTGGGCGACGGGCTAGGGCGGGCGCCTGGGCGACGGGCTAGGGCGGGCGCCTGGGCGACGGGCTAGGGCGTGGGCCTGGGCGACGGGCTAGGGGCGCAGGCTAGGGGCGCGGAGGGCGCTAACGCGCGGAGGAGGAGGGCGCTAAGGCGCGGAGATGGCGCGGAGGGCGCGGTGGCTAAGGCGCGGAGGGCGCGGAGGGCGCGGAGGGCGCGGAGGGCGCGGAGGGTGCTAGGGCGCAAGGGCGCGGAGGGCGCGGAGGGCGCGGAGTGTGCTAGGGCGCAAGGGCGCGGAGGGCGCTAGGGCGCGAGCTAGGCTAGGCTAGGCGAGAGGATCGACACCTACTCATGATACCATCTCAAAGTTAGCGAACAGCGGAATGATTGGAATAGAAACGAATGGGGTACAAATGAGCAACCCTAGAAGCTGTACCCCCTAGAGTGCAACCCACTATAGCCTATCATATCAATGTTCAACATTTGACACATGGTGCCTTTTTGCCGAGCACCACCCCAGGGGGAAACTGAATCACCCCATTTTATCCCATACGCATGGCAGCTAAGGGCTCGTGTTGTAAATATAGGTTGTCTGCTCTTGCTTCGCGCATAAGAAGGTGCAGCCACATCATAGTTGCACGAGTGCACTGTGGGGCCATTACTTGTTCTTTTTGCACCGAATCGCAAGTGAATTGATTCCTCATGAACCTTTGAGTGACACAATTTCAAACATGTTTGGACTGCGTTGCCTTCGGTTCGGATGCGCAACGCGGGCTGTTATTGCCATCACTTGTTGCTTCTGTAGTGAGCTTGCTATTGTAAGAGAGGATGTCAACTGGTGTAAGCCTTGACTCAAAAGACGATCGGTGGTAAGAAGTAAGTTTTTTTTTCAATGTAGAGGTCGTACCAGCAGCTGTTGTCTGCTGCGTGTAACAAGTGCACAGGACATGACAGGACATGATCTTGTATTCATATTGCGAACACTTGAAGCACACAACAGGCTACTATAACATTACTGAAACTTCATCCCCCTGAGATTAACAAACCAGCCCCACAAGCTGCGTACAGTAGATGCAAACCACAAACCAGGAAGTTTCCGTACATGCATCAGGCTGGTAGCTGCCTGGTCAGCTGTGACAACACAACAGTCACACCAGTCCGCCCTCCCTCCCAAACTAACCCCCTAAGCTGGCAATTTGCCGACTTTATCTCCCTCTCTTACTGTAACCCCCCTCCACCTGTCCTGACACCTACACTAACCTTTCCCACCTTTGCCAACGCCTGCACTACCCCCTCCTACCTATCACAACACCTGCATTACCCCCTCCCACCATTGGCCGCGGAATCTAATTGGCGCGAAACACAGAGACGGTGCGGGCGTTGAGGGGCTGCGGCAGCCGGTTGTTGGTGCGGTCTACCAGTCAAGATGCTCTCCCTCCCATCCCATCCCATGTGCATTGAGACCATTGGCTCCCACGCAATGCACTCAAGGGCTCGCCAGTGCAGGCGTGGGGGGTACAGCCTTTGGTTGTGGAATCTACGAGGCGCGGAACACAGAGACGGTGCGGGCATTGAGGGGCTGCGGCAGCCGGTTGTTGGTGCGATCACCACTGTTGGTGCGCGATAGAAAGTTCATGTAGGTGGCCATCTGAAAGGGAGGGGGGGAGAGTTGGGGAGGGGAGGGGTGGACAAGGAGCGGATGGATGATGCATGTGTGGTCACCAACGTTGGTGCGGGGGAGGAAGTTCATGTAGGTGGCCAGCTGGAAGGGAGGGGGGGAAAAGGAGTGGAGGAGGGGAGGGAAGCAGGCGGGAGGGAGAGAGGGAGGGAGGGATGGGAAAGGGATGCATGATGGTTGTGAGATTGGTTCACCTTGCTTCACAAGAGGAGGCTTATTCGCGCATGCAAGATGGAGGATGCAGTTTGACAAGACGCTTCTTGTACTTTTGAGATGTCTCAGAAATACCCTTATAATATCATGTACTACAAGGTCTCAGGCTCTCCGCAGCACCCACCTGGCGTGCTGAGATGAGCTCAGGGTACAGGGAGAGAGACGCATCAGGCAGCGCAGGGAGACGCATCAGGCAGAACAGCGACAGTACCATACTCCAACATTCATCCAACATTACGTCGACAAGCATCCCAGTACCATATTTCATCATCTGGAGGTGAACCAATCGACCACCTCCGTGCAGCGGGTGCACGTGCACCTTCTAAGGCGGCGCCTGGAAAAGCAGTGCGGGCAGAGTGACAACCGTTGAGGCGCCAACACGCACGCACCTGGCGAGTGGAGACGAGCTTGGGGCGCATGGAGATGAACCAATCCACCGTCTCGGTGCAGGGCGGGTGCACCTGCGAGCCCTCGTAGTACCAGAAGGGCGTCTCAAACGACAGCACCCAGCAGCACCCAGCAGCACCCAGCAACACCCAGCAGCACCCAGCACCCACGCACCTGGCGAGTGGAGACGAACTTGGGGCGCATGGAGATGAACCAATCCACCGTCTCAGTGCAGGGCGGGTGCACCTGCGAGCCCTCGTAGTACCAGAAGGGTGTCTCAAACGACAGCAGCTCCATGAAGTTGGTCTTCGCTGCTATCTTTGTTGTGCCGTTCACTGCCGCTGGGATGTCGTTCAGCCAGCTGGAGAGAAGGGGGAGAGGGGGGGAGCGGGGAAGGGGGCAGGGAGGAAGGGGGAATGAGGGAAGCAGGCGAAGGAAGAGGCAGCTGGGACTGTGGGCATTCGTGTGTCAGTGTACCGAGGTGACTTTTGAGCCGGCTCAAAAGGCACAGTGAGCGAGGCACAGTGAGCGAGGCACAGTGAGCGAGGCCCAGTGAGCGAGGCACAGTGAGCGTACAAGGCTCTCGGGCCATAAAAAAGGCTGTTGGGGTGTGCTTACAGGTTGAGCCACGCGTTGTCCTTGTCTTTGGGGTGCAGCTTGAGGAAGACGGAGAAGACGGACTTGCGAGTGGTGTTGCCCACATTCACATACGCGAACTTGGCCTCCATGGGCGCCTGCACGCCGTCCACCAGGTGGATGCTGGGCACCTGTGGGCATGACAGGAGGGAGATGAGAGGGTGAGAAGGCAGGGGTAGTGCTGGTTACAGGGTGCAGCACAGCAGACCCTCTCCATGCGCCCACTGGGCCTCCATGGGCGCCTGCACGCCGTCCACCAGGTGGATGCTGGGCACCTGTGGGCATGACAGGAGGGAGATGAGAGGGTGAGAAGGCAGGCAGGGGTAGTGCTGGTTACAGGGTGCAGCACAGCAGACCCTCTCCATGCGCCCACTGGGCCTCCATGGGCGCCTGCACGCCGTCCACCAGGTGGATGCTGGGCACCTGTGGGCATGACAGGAGGGAGATGAGAGGGTGAGAAGGCAGGCAGGGGTAGTGCTGGTTACAGGGTGCAGCACAGCAGACCCTCTCCATGCGCCCACTGGGCCTCCATGGGCGCCTGCACGCCGTCCACCAGGTGGATGCTGGGCACCTGCGCGCATGAGGCGAAGTGTATGAGAAAGAGGAATGCGGAAAGGCAAAGGGCAGGGGTGGCCCTGAGTACAACACTTTTGAGTCGACTCAAAAGTCATGAGGAATGCGGAAAGGCAAAGGGCAGGGGTGGCCCTGAGTACAACACTTTTGAGTCGACTCAAAAGTCATGAGGAATGCGGAAAGGCAAAGGGCAGGGGTGGCCCTGAGTACAACACTGCGCACCTGCGAGAGCAAGTTGTGCTTCGAGCGCTTAAAAAACACGCCCACGAAAAAGGAAATACCCGGCAACAGCAGCGCCCGTCAGATTGCATTGCGTCGCGTCGCCTCACCTGCAGGTCGGAGTGGCTTTTGAGTCGACTCAAAAAGATGACTTTTGAGTCGACTCAAAAGTCACCTGCAGGTCGGAGTGGTCCAGCTTGTGCAGCCCCGAAGGCAGCGTGAGATAGTAGCGCTTGCCTGCTTGTGGCGACACACCCATCCCATCCCATGACATGATATGATACTACTACATTCCCAGCAGCAGCAGCAGCAGCAGCACCGGTCATAATGTTGCATCGCTTCGCCTCACCTGCAGGTCGGAGTGGTCAAGCTTGTGCAGCCCCGAGGGCAGCGTGAGATAGTAGCGCTTGCCTGCCTGTGGCGACACAGCTGGGGATGAGAAATGAAGGGGGAAGGGGGGAGGTGAGGGGGGAAGAGAACAGAGAGATAAGGTGGAGGGCAGCGTGAGGAAGTAGCGCTTGCCTGCCTGTGGCGACACAGCTGGGTACGAGAAACGGGGGGGGTGTGGAAGAGGAAAGATGGATAAAGTGAAGGGGAGTGTGAGGTGGTTGCGCGTGCTGGTCTGTGGCAATACAGTTGGGTGTGAGATATGGGGGGGAGGGAAAAGGGGGGAAAGAAGGGAAGAGGAGGGAGGGGAGAAGGATGGCGTGATGCAGTGAGGCAGCAGTGCTGGCTGGTTTCGCCTGGCAAGGTTTGCACGAATATTCGGGCTACAAGATCGCGGACTTCAAGCAAGAATGCGGGCAGGAGGAGGATGTTCCTTGACACACGTGGAGAGATTGGAAAGGACTCACATTGGCAAGAGCCAGCAAGTTGTTTGGCAGCGGTGTGTGTCTCCTGTTGGTGTTTCATAACAGCCTGGTTTCATAACCAAACCCAGAGACGTCTCAACATGAGGGGCCTTTTGGAACTCAATAGTGACATACGGTTTATAACGCGTACAGGGGCCAGCTGTCTTACCAGCAGCGTGCTCCTCGTTGATGACGGTGATCTCGCGGCTCAGAGGATGCTTCACTATAAGCAGCGACTCAGCAGTAGCCCCTGACTTGCCTTACCAGCAGCGTACAGGCGTACACACACAACTATCCGCCTTACCAGCAGCATGCTCCTCATTGGTGACGGTGATCTCGCGGCTGAGAGGGTGCTTCACTTTGAGCAGCGACTCAGCTGAAGCCCCTGACTTATAGCGCGTACAAGCCAGCTGTCTTACCAGCGGCGTGATCCTCGTTGGTGACGGTGATCTCGCGGCTCAGAGGGTGCTTCACAATAAGCAGCGACTCATTAGTAGCCTCCGACTTACCTAAAACGCGTACACACAGCAAACCGCCTTACCGGCGGCGTGTTCCTCGTTGGTGACGGTGATCTCGCGGCTCAGAGGGTGCTTCACTTTGAGCAGCGAGGGGCCATCGGCGCGCTTCACTGCGGATGTGACTATATTGATGGGGCTCTGCTTCTTGCCCGACTGGCACAGACCCTGCACGGACGAGGGCAAGTAAGAGGACGATTGTGACTACATAAGGGGCAGGTACGAGGATAAGCATGCATTGCTAAATGTGACTATGTTGAGTTCGGGAGGTGTGAGTGAGAGGTGAAGAGGAAAACGACATGCGACAAATAAAACAAGAGATGAAGAAGCAGAGAGTAATTTGATGGCATTGAGAAGCAAAGTACCAGCAACCGGCACTGCAAGTCAATGCCTACCGGCCAGTCCGTGCCCGAGAGGTCGTAGTTAAACGACTCTCCGCGAACCGCGCGGATATTAGTGGCTCCCAGCAGGAGCCCCACGAGCGCGAGCGCAATCCACGGCGCCATGCTACAGCTTGCCGAGTCGCGTCAAGAAAAAAACACTGTGTTGCCAGAAAGAACCGCTTCCGTCTGTTTCAGCTGGCAGCAAAGCTTCGACACGGATAGAACCGATATGGTGCGGAGATGGCGGAAAGGAAGGCAAATGGCGAATGAGAGACGGCGGGGAGACTCGGTTTCAGCAGGATTTGTTGGAGTAATGACCTCCCCTCGTAAATGCCTCGGATTATGTACGAATGCGCACGTACGACAATCAAGACGAACATCGTCTCCTGTATTCCAGGCTACTACAAGCTACGAATTACAGGTTTCCTCTGATGGCGGCTCGCCAGCGTGGATTCAGGTGGTGAATCAGCGAGTCGCGCCTACGGCGGCGGCACCGCGGGCAGAACAAACTCCGAAGTATCATTGTTCCTTGAAAATGAAAGCGAAGCTTAGCCAGCAGTAGCTCGTGAAGAAACGAAATGATGTGGGCGAATTCAGGGTGGCTCGTCGACACAAAAACAACAAAAACTTCAAATCAACCCTGCAAAAAACAGAAATTGTCCAAACTAATATTTCTCGAGAAACTTCGAGCGAAAGCTTCAAAAGACGAGAGGAAAGCAGAAGCATCTGCGGCAACTGCGCGCCACAGCCTGGCGAAAACCCCGCCACCGCCCTTCTCCATTCTGCTTTCTCTCCCCCTTTCCGATATTCGACAATCACACCCGCGATCGTGTTTGGTACGACTGTGGATGAATGTTCTGTACAGTGTATTCCATCCTAAAAAACAAAATGGAATCAAATGGTGACAGTGTTTTTAATCCGTATGAAGAGCATACAGTGCAGTCATTGGGGACTAGCTCCTGTGCTGCTCACTCTATATTTCCAGGTAGGTATTAAATGGGTCTAATATATGCATCTGAGATCTAATTACTACTTTTGAGGCACTCACGATTAATAACAAAAAGGCTACATTTGAAATTGTTTCACACTACGACCTCCAAAGTTCTACAGAGGCTTGCGAGCAAGGAAGAAATACATGGGTGTGAAAATCTCTCTCCTGCACACAAGGCGCTCGAGCAGTAAGGATCACAGATAGGGCATGGGAAAACGATGAACGAGCGCCAGAGCGGGGGAGAGGAGAGAGGAGGGGAGTGATGGGAAAATCGAGGAGGTAGGAGAAGGGGGAAGAGAAGAGGATCCAGCAGTGAGAGAAAGGGGGAATTTGAATTGAAGGGGACGGGTGGGGGCAAGGGTGGGAGGAAGTTGAAGCCACGGCGACAGAGAATGCCAGAGGGAGACATGCGACATGCGTCAGACAATCAAGGCCACTCACTTGCCGCCCTCCACGAGCGCATCTGCCCCTCTCTCCAGAAACTTCTGCACGCGGTAGCTGCCAGCTGGCGCAATCCGCAGCCCCTCCAGCACTTGCACCTGATTGGCCGGGGACCACAGAGGCGGGTGCAACAGGGGCGGGAGGATATGGAAGGAATGGGAAGGAATGGGAAGGGAGTGGGGAAGAGACAGGAGAGGGAAGGTAGGCTGGAAGCAATGATGGCTTTGGGGAGGGGGCATAAGTGAGAGGTAGTGAGTGGCGAGTGGATAAGACTAGGTGGTGGCATGGACAGCACAAATGGTGGGATGGTGCATGTCAAAGCAAGGAATCACGGAGTGATTGGATTTGGAAGAAGCGTAGGAAGGAGGTGGTGAGAGGAAGTGAGAGAGGGCACGCACGAGGGTGGTGGTGAGGAAGCGGCCGACGCGGGTGAGCTTGAACTGTGAGAGCGAGAAGTAGCTGGGGTCCAGCGGCTTGTGCCACGCCACCTCCGCCGTCTCCGTCAGATCCGCTGCCTCCAGTAGCTGCGCAGAGGGAGAGGAGGAAGGGAGAAGAGATGGTTGGTGTGAGGTGCACGGGACTGGCACAGAGGGAGCAGAGTATGTCACGCCACCTCCGCTGTCTCCGTCAGATCCGCTGCTTCCAGTAGCTGCGCAGAGGGAGAGGAGGGAGGGAGAAGAGATGGTTGGTGTGAGGTGCACGGGACTGGCACAGAGGGAGCAGAGTATGTCACGCCACCTCCGCTGTCTCCGTCAGATCCGCTGCTTCCAGTAGCTGCGCAGAGGGAGAGGAGGAAGGGAGAAGAGATGGTTGGTGTGAGGTGCACGGGACTGGCACAGAGGGAGCAGAGTATGTCACGCCACCTCCACTGTCTCCGTCAGATCCGCTGCCTCCAGGAGCTGTGAGGGAGTGAGACCATGGGGAGTGTGGAGGGGAGGCAAGGAAAACAGGGGAGGTGATATGTGAGTGAGGAGGGTAGGGCATATGTGGGTTGTGAGGTAGGTTTGGGCGAAAGGGGGGTGGGAGGAGGCCGGGATTGATGAAAGGGCCTTGAGCACACGAGCATGCACTGCATTGCATGCCCTCTGTGTGTATGCAATGCAATGGGTTCGCTCACCTCGAATCCGGCGTCCAGCAGCGCCTGGCGGACCTGCGCCGTGGTGCGGATGTCCGGCAGGCAACCCGTGGCACGGAATGGATGATACTGCTGTGCTGTAAACCCTATATATGCTCTCAGTGTGCACACAGCCATGCGGCCCATGCATGCATGTAGGGTGCATGAATGCAGTGCATGGGGCTAAATCGCTCACCTCAAAGCCGGCGTCCAGCAGCGCCTGGCGGACCTGCGCTGTGGTGCGGATGTCTGGCAGCCCGTTGCCTGTACCACACTGCTGTCCTGCGCTACCTCCATGTGCTCAGTGTGCACACAGCCAAACACGCGCATAGGGTGCCTGCAGTGCATGGGGCTGAATGGCTCACCTCGAATCCGGCGTCCAGCAGCGCCTGGCGGACCTGCGCCGTGGTGCGGATGTCTGGCAACCCGTTGCCCAGCTCCACCTCCCTCTGCACCCCTCCCCACCGCACCAAAGAACGCCACACCAGACAACACCGCAAGGAACAACACACATTAAAAATGTAGAAAGATTCTTGAGAGTCTGGATTAAATACGCCATATACACTGCAAAGGGGGGAACTGAACGGAGGACGTAAGGGAGGGATCATGGAGACGAGGGACATACGGGCTAGAGGAGAAGAGCAAGGGGAATGGCGGAGCGAACCTCATTGACCCGATTATACTCTGTAGTTTGGTATGGTGGGGCCTTTCCTTGACCTCCGGGTGCTGTGATTTGGTGGGGTCATACCCGCTCTTTCTCAGGCGCCTCAAACATCGTCTCACCGCACGCAAGCACTCTATAGAGGGTCTCTTCTCATCTCACCTTGACCTCTTGGTGCTGGGGGTTGTTGGGGTCATAGGCGTCTGTGAGGCACCACTCGTACGCCGCAAAGCACTGCCCCGGCTTCAGCACGCGCTTCACCTCGCTGTAGCACCCCACCTGACCAGGGAGAGGGATTTTAAGATATAAACGGAGATACAAATACGTGGGGATAGGTTCTTGAGATAGGAACGGGGATATTGATACATGGGGATAAATCAGGAATAAGCCAGACATTTTTGTCATCACATTCCAAAGATCTCATGCCCTTTGTGCCTTCTGTCGACAAGCATACTCACAGCATCGGCGTGGCAGGTGGCTTCGATGGCGTAGACGGCAACAAAAGGAGGCATCGGGCACGGGGATGCTCATTGTGCCTACTGTCGACGCTTGTTGAGACATCACGGCCCAAGAGAGCACTCACAGCATGGGGGGCGTGGCACTCACCGCGTCGGGCGCGTGGCAGGTGGCTTCGATGGCATAGACGGCATCAAAGGATGCGTCGGGCACGGGGATGCTCATGAAGTCCGCCTTTATGAATCCACATGCCTCCAGTGCTCGGTGGCGCCTGTTCAGCACCTGGCGAGGTGGGTGACGTGGCAGGGGAGGGAAGGGCAAGAGTGAGGAGCATAGCGGAAGCATGAAGGCACGGCACGGGGATGCTCATGAAGTCCGCCTTTATGAACCCACATGCTTCCAGCGCCCTGTGCCGCCTGTTGAGCACCTGGTGGGGTGCGGGGAGGGGAGGATGGAGGGGATGGAGAAGAGGCGACATGGTGAGGGTGGGTCGGAAAGATGGAAGGGCGAGTTTCAAAGTTGGCTGGGTGGGTGGCCGGGTGCGTGGCTGGATGGGTGGCTGGATGCATTGATAAATGAACGGATAAGTGCGCCAACGTAGAGCGTACCTTGCCGCGGGAGATCTGGTACTCGTTGTTGTTGAGCCCCGTTACTGTGGCTCCACTGCGTTGTGTTGTGTTGCACACAGGGGGAGAGGGGAAGAGACAGCGAGCGCGCAAGTGAGGAGTGGAGCAAAGACGACTGAGCATACAGACAGACAGCAGGGTGCAAGCAACAACAGGGTGAAAGACGCAATTCCAATGGATACCACAAAGACGAGCAACAGGAGGCGATTTGTCTCGAACATAAGCTCTGACCAGCAGGCATTTTATCTCAGGACTGGACAGAAGGCAGAGGCTGTGGGCGTACCTGAATAACGCGATTTCTCTCAACGGCCCACCGATGCCGCACCCCACATCCAACACCTGATGGCGAGGAGGTGAGAGGAGGATCAAAATCCGAGGTGTAAAGAGGAGTGAGGCGAGGTGTGGAGAGGAGGAAGGAGTGAGGCACGACACTGTGAAAAATGAGATAGAAGGCTGTCAGGGAGAGATGAAAATTCCAGAAGGGGGAGGAAACAACAGCTGAGAAGCAAACTTATGCCCGTTCGAGTACACACTTTCATGCCCCATGGAAGAGCACGCACGCACCTTCATGCCAGGGCCCAGTCCTAGCCGGAGTGCCAGGAAGTGCTCGTGACGCTTGATGCTCTCCCGTAGCGTCTCGCCCCTCATGCTGGCGCGCGGAGCAGAGAGACAACGGGATGCCGGAAGGAATGGCGAAACGAAGGGACCGTTTTTTCAGGGATCTAGATACGACAAGACCAGGGGACTTGTGCGAGGCACACGCAATGCAATGAGATTGAGGCGCTGCGAGGAAGGCCCATGCAGTCTGACGTGGGACAAGGTGCGCGCAGCTGGGATGCATGGATGAATGGATGAATGGATGAATGGATGAATGGATGAATGAATGAATGAATGCTGGAGTGCAGTGGTCATGACAGAACATTGGCCGGTTTCGCTCCTATGAGTGGGTGGTTATCGTGGCTAGTTGGCGAAGCTCGTACCGGTGAGCGAAGTGGAACGATTCGCCCCAGCCGTACTCGTAGAAGCTGGTTACCAGATCGTAGTACTTGTTCACCTGAGCGTGTGTGTGAGAAGGGAGGTGGGTCGGGCGAGAAGCGAAGTTGGGGTAACGGGAAAAGACGACTCTTTGTTACGGTTCGATTTAATGCTTTTCATTGGGTGCATTATGCCTTGTTGCAGCCAAAGTTCATCAAGAGTTGTGTTATGCCACATCGGTAACCCCCCGAATCATGCTGCGTACTTACCAGCTGCTGAGAACAGTAATATACCAGCCACATCGGTAACCTCTTGGCGCCATACTGTGTACATACATACCATGTCCGTGTAGTTGGACTTGCGCGATTTCAGACGTCTCAAGGCATCCGCAACCCTTTAAAGCACTGAACCGTACATACCATGTCCGTGTAGTTGGACTTGCGCGCGCTGTCGCTCCCTCCAAAGCTCTCGTGGTAGTTCTCATAGCTGCAGCGGGGATGACACGGATCAGGAGTTGCATCAGAACGAATTCGCGCAACAGAGGCGCCGCATGGAAATGAAACGCGAGAGGAACGATCTGGAAGGTGTTGGTGGATGACAGGGCATTTGCACAGGTGTCATTGTTCAAGTGGTGCCGGCATTTAGTTAGCAGACAGACGACGCGGCGGTCAATGCAGGTGACGAAAGGTGAAGCAGCAAGGCGTGGTGCAAGGATAGACGATGTAGGATCAAGTTCAATGAGTCAAGCTCCAAGTTTCGTTTCGCGTGAAGGTTTTCCGATCATGCTGGTCATAGCATTTCCCCTTTAACGAAGTACAGGCCTGCTCAGCTTCTGTAACCTTTCTAAAGAGTGCACGCTCATAGCTCCTTTCAGTCGAAGAATGATCCATGCGATGATGCAAAGGGATGCAAAACTCGAGCCTTTGCGAGGATTCACCAGGAAACGCACTTCATCACCCTCTCTGTCTTTATCCGATTGATTCGAGAGTTCATGAAAAGTGATGCAAGCATAACAAAGTTGAGCAGTTGTGAGGACCTCACCTGGAAACCGCCGTCTTCACTTCCTCTTTCTTTATCCATCCGCCTGTTTTTGTCGCCAAGCCAACTGCTCCCGTCAGGCTCTGAGTCTCTTCCGACATTGTTGCTTCTGTGCTGCTGATCAGGATTCTAGGAGACGACTAAAATCTCTCAAGTCCGCAAACCACGCTTGCGAATCTAGCCCTGAACGGATCTAAAATCAGCTAGTTTTGGACGTGCAAGTGACGGCAACCTGTGTAGCTAGCAGACTCAAGCCTAAGGATGGCGGATGACCAGAATGGAATTTGGGGAATCTTTGAAATGCGCTGGGTTGAGGGCACAAGGATGATGGAGACGAAACGAGGTTCAGCCATGGATTTCTCACGGACACCCCATTCTGCTCTCCAACGTGATGCGTTGGAGCATATTCGAGGCCTTCCATTGGCTAATCCGGTCCAGCGACTGATGCCTGGATCTCGTGGTCAGGGAAGTATCTACGAATATTGCTGGAATCGGGAAACCCTTCTCGTGAATTCAAGCGATTTTCGCAAGAACCAGCTGCACCACTTGCAGGAGATGGATTTTCCGTGTGCGGCTCGATTCAAATCCCAGCTTGCTGGAGGCGATCTACGACCGACAGGCAAAAGGTTCCGCTTCGGCGGCTCGATTTGAGTCCCCAACTTTGTGGAGAGCACAGCTGGGTGTGTGAGCGCGACACGTGTGAGATCCGAATGTTCCACATACTCGTCAAAGGCATCTTTTTAGAGAGAACGACAACACACATAATATACTTTTGATATTTCTTCAGCAAAACTACTTGTCACCTCTTGTCAAATGTTGTAGTCTTAGTGATGTGTGTTATAGGGGGTACAACTATTAGGGTTAGGTTTATGTACCCGGACCAACTTTAGTCAAACCAACACTTTCATTCTTGACACCTCTGCTGGTAAGGATATCTTAGCAACCTTGAGGCCCTTGTCAGACATGAGTAATAGATGATTTTCTGTACACAGTGGCCACTAGCACTCACAGCTAAGGCGGCATCAACACCTAAATCCAGTTCCTAACAGACGTGTACATTTTTGTGGTTCCCGAGTTAGTCAGCAGGCAACAATGAAGCCTCACGTAGGCGTGTCAGTGTACGAAGCAGGCGGCGAGTTCACACTACCCGCCCCTTCAATATCAAACAGCGCATCATGCCGTACACCCGACCCACCAGGCACAGGCAGTGGGGCACTATGCCCCTCACCACTCCCACCAACCGCACCAAACCCACCACCACCACCCTGAGAGAAAGGGTCAGGTTGCTCAAAGTCCTGGCAGCTCTCCACATAGATGAAACCCTTGCCGACATAGAGTAGTAGTGCCGTGGAGAGCAGGCACATGATGGTGAAGAAGAAAAACTCCTGCGTCTGAGAGAGATGTGAGCCAACGGTCCCGACCACCACCGCCGTGAAGAGATTGCCTGGAGAGAGAGGAGAGAGATGAGAACAAGGGATGAGAAAAAGCGATGAGTGGAGGAGCAGTGCGGTGGAGAGCAGGCACATGACAGACAGTGAAGAAACGAAAACTAATTGCTTCTGTTTCAAGTGCAGGCCCACTGTTCTCACGGCCACCGCTGTGAAGAGATTGTATGAGTGAGAGCTGAGAGGAGAGAACCACAGGGAGAAGAGGGTGATAGGGAGAAGAGGGTGATAGGGAGAAGTGGAGCGACAGGGCAGTGGAAACCCAGCGCACACTCCCTACGAAGGCTCACCTCCAACCACAGTGAGGCACCAGAATGCGGTGACAACGGCCGTCATGCTGTGGCACCTGCCCCCCCTGCGATTAGTGAGGTCTACAGAAGTGCGCACACTCCCTACGATAGGCTCACCTCCAGCGACGGTGAGGCACCAGAAGGCGGTGACGACAGCTGTCATGCTGGCAGGGGCCTGCGAGTAAGCGAGTTCGAGGCCCGTGATGCTGAATAGGATCTCCCCGGCGGTCATGATCACATACTGTGGCACCTGCCATGCCAGTGACACGCATGGTGGGCTGCCCGGGTCCCCACATGCTTGCAGCACGTGTCTGCTGCTGTTGCCTACTTGCCCCCCTGCTGCTAGGCCTCCCATTGCTTCCACTGCTGCTGCTCCTGCTGTGCCCACTGCTGCTGTTACTCTTGCTGCTGCTGCCCCTCCCACTGTCACCAGGTCTCCTCCCCACCCGTCCATCATAGAACCAGTCACGATTGGACCAGCAATACCACTCATGTTGCTCATCATGCTGCCATTGCTACTCATACCACTCATACCCATGCCGCCAAAGCTGCTAACACTTGCTGTCATGTTACCCCCAATCATACCCAGTAACACCCTACCAGCTCCATCCCCTGCGCCCACACTCCCCACCCCTGCAGCAGCAGCGGTCACTGCCGAGCCTAGCAGCAGGCTCGGCGAGCCAGACTTGGCCCGAGCCTCGATCCAGATCTGGAGGAGGCCGGAGAGGGCGAAGCTCAGGGCGCCGAGGGTCATGCCGGTGGCCATGCGGCGGATGGGGCGGATTGACACGCCCAGGCGCTCGCACGCAGGGTAAATCACCTGATCAAATAGCGGTATCATAACCAGAATGAGCGCTGCGTTCATGGTCTGTGCGTGGAGGAAGCGGGGGAGGGACGGGGGGCGCAGAAGGGGGGAAGGAAAAAGGAGGTGGAATGCTGGTGGGTCAGTAGGAGAACAGGGTGGGGAAGGGGAGAGGGAAGAAGAAATATGAGAAAAAAACGAAATGATTGAAGTCATTCAAAAAGAGGTTTGGATTAAGGTTTCAAATGAAATAAAGGTTTCCATAGAGGTTTGACCAGAGGCAGAAAATTGATGCACGCAGGCATTTGATTGCTCAACCCTCATCTCTCAACCAGTTCAACAGCTGAGCCATCCATCCATCCATCCATCCATCCATCCATCCATCCATCCATCCACCCATCCATCCATCCACCCATCCATCCATCCACCCATCCATCCATCCACCCATCCATCCATCCACCCATCCACCCATCCATCCATCCATCCATCCACCCATCCATCCATCCATCCACCCATCCATCCATCCACCCATCCACCCATCCATCCATCCATCCATCCATCCATCCATCCATCCATCCACCCATCCATCCATCCGTCCACCCATCCATCCACCCATCCATCCATCCACCCATCCATCCATCCACCCATCCATCCATCCACCCATCCATCCATCCACCCATCCATCCATCCACCCATCCATCCATCCATCCACCCATCCATCCATCCATCCACCCATCCATCCATCCATCCACCCATCCATCCATCCATCCATCCATCCATCCATCCATCCATCCATCCATCCATCCATCCATCCATCCATCCATCCATCCATCCATCCATCCATCCATCCATCCATCCATCCATCCATCCATCCATCCATCCATCCATCCATCCATCCATCCATCCATCCATCCATCCATCCATCCATCCATCCATCCATCCATCCATCCATCCATCCATCCATCCATCCATCCATCCATCCCCGCCACCACCCAAAGCAATCCGGCAACCAACTAAACAAACAGGCAATTGACCATCATCCGTGTACCATTCCCTCTAGAACCCCCATAAGCTGAATTGCTGGCCGGACTGCCCATCTGCCTCTCCCCCTGACACCAGCCCACCTGCACCTGCCCCCCAAACACCAGCCCTTGCATGAATCTGCTGCCCTGCTTCCCTGTAGACCTGCTGGTCTGCTGGCCTCCCCCATCTACGTCCGCCCATTTAATCCCCCCTCCGACCTCCACCACTGAGTGTAGCTCAACCCCTCACATCCGCCCGGCTGTACTTCTCTGCCTCAAGTACCAATCAACCGGCCTGTTAGCCTGCCCACTCTCAAGCCCTGACCCCGCACCACCCATCCCAAACCCTTCCTACCACAACGCACCTGCATCTGGCCCAGCTTCACTCTAACCCCAAATATTCGCCCATCCATGATCCATCCTCTTCCTGTATAACAACCCATCTGCTGCCCTGCTATTCGACCCCCACGGTTCCCCCTTCCCTCATTCCCACCCATCCCAAAACCCCCAAACCCCTCACCACCACGCACCTGCATCTGGTCCAGCTCCACCTTAAACCCCAAATCTTGCCATCCATTCCCCCAGCCTGAACACCCCCGCCTCGCCAGCTGGTCGAAACACCCTAAGTCCCCATCCCAATCCAACCCCTCCGCCCCCCCCACACCCCCCTTTTCCCTCCCTCCTGCCCACAACGCACCTGTATCTGATCCAGCTCCACTGTGACACCCAGCCCCACCCAACCCAACCCCGGCCAATCCTGCCCAAACCCTCACCCCCGCCCATCCCAACCCCTCACCACCACAACCCACCTGCATCTGATCCGGCTCCACCGTGACCCCCCAGATCCTGCCATCCATCCTCTCCGCCTGGAACACCCAGCGGCTGGCCTGCTGGACGAACCCCCCCCAATTCCCCCCATCCCCACCCATCCCAACCCCCCCAAACCCCACATCACCGTCACCCACCTGCATCTGATCCGGCTCCACCGTGACCCCCCAGATCCGCCCGTCCATGCGCTCCGCCTGGAAGACCCAGCGGCTGGCCTGCTGGTCGAAGAGCGACCAGAAGATGGGCACGGGGGCGAACAGCGCCAGCACGCGCAGCAGCAGCTTCACGTCCTCCACCGCCTCGTCCCCGTGCGCGCCCTTGGCGGGGTCCAGCCAGTGCGCCTTGGGAACATATCCCAACGGCACTATGGCTCGCTTGCTGCCCCGCTTCGACAGCTTCTTCTGCAGCGTCGGCTGGCTGCCCTTCCGCTGCTGGCTCTGAGGTGATTCAGACAACTGGCCTTGCAGCGGACTCCCCGGTTGGAAGCGGTTCCCCCCTCCATGGCTGCTACCGCCCCCGCCGCCATTACCTGCGCCGAACGACGCGGGGCTGCTGGAGAGAAGCGGGGAGCTGTCCACGTCAGCACAGCTCGCGTGGCGCTCCGGGATTGGCACGGGCATGGGCATGGCCAGGGTTGGGTAAGATTTCCGCCGCGCCTTCCCCGGCCATAGAGCGGAGATGATTATAGAGAGGACTTCGGACACCACGTTCCCCGCGGGCGGCTGGTGCACGTAACTCCCGCTGCCGAGCCAGAAGAGACACGTGGCAACCATCATCAGCACTGCCGGCAGCGCGAACGCGGCGCTATACGACAGATTAACGCGCAGCAGCGGCGTGACGATCGTCGAGATCCCGGACCCGACGTTAATCGCGAAGTAGAAATACGAAAAGAACTGCCGAACCAGGCGGTCCCGAGCCGCGCCGGGAGGGTTGGTCATCTCGATCTGATCGCCGCCGAACGACGACACGCACGGCTTGATGCCGCCGCTGCCCAAGGCTAGAAAGGATAGGCCTGCGAGGGCCCACGGGAGCGCGGCGGACGGCGTGGTGTGAAGCGCGGAGAAGGCGACGAGCCAGTTGCCGGCGCAGTAGATGAAGGAGAGGTATAGGATGGTCCGGTACTTGCCCTGCGCGCGCGGGGAGACAAGGGGGAAATATCGAGGTTTCAGGCGTCTAGGAACTTGGTGTGGTAGGAGATGGAGGGGTGCAGGATGGTCCCGTACTTGCCCTGCGATCGGCGCGCAGGGAGACAATTTGGAGATATCGAGGTTCGCGGCGATTCGATACTCGGTGTGGCAGACGAAGGATAGGTACAGGATAGAAGGGGCTCGGAGAAAACTTGGATGCTTAGGTTTGGATTAAAAACTGTTATGCATGGATCCGTTGAATCAGCGACAGATTCAAACTTTGAATCGAGTTCTTACCAGATGCCTATCGCTTATGAAGCCGCCCAGCAGGGAACAGGTACGCAGCGTTGACATACAGTCGCAGTCACTTATCATAACTATGGAAACCACCTGGCGTTCCATGATGGCAGAGCCTTACCAAGTAGCTATCGCTTATGAAGGCGCCAAACAGGGGAGCGAGGTACGCGGCGACGATGAAGAGATGCACCATCTCCGTCGCCGTCGCCTGCGACAGCTTTAATCTCTCGTTCAGGTACATCGCCAGGATCGCTCGCATGCCGTAGAAGGAGAATCTCTCGCAGAACTCGTTGCCGATTATAAACTTGACCGTTGGCGGTACCACTGCTTCCTGCTCTTTAGGCGCTTCGCCATTCCTCGCATCGCTGGTATCACCACTGGGTATACTTATGGAGGCTGGGCTATTCTTTATCTCATCGACTTCTGACGGGGTGCCTGGCGGCATGTTGACCAGCAACTAGCGCTGATCACAGCTGGCGGCCGGTCTGATCGACGGCTAGTCTAACTGCCACCAAGAAAACAGCTCGATACGTGCGACCCTGAAATGAAGATTGGGAGAAAGAAAACTGAAGCTCCAACGAGAACTACGAACACTTCTCGAGACACTCGAATTACTCCAAAGAGAAATAAAGACTAGCAACAGAAATCAGTCTATGGCTGAGAACAGGTGGTTGGGTGGTTGTGCGAGCTTGTGAGGGGCGCCATGTCGAAGCAATCAGGGCTTGATGTGCAAAGCGTGTTTATTACGGTTTAATTACTTTCTTCAACGGTATTAAACGTTACCGAGGGAACCAAGGCCACATGGAAATTGTGTGTTGGCGTTTGGTTGTTGTTGGCTGCTGCTCCATGCCAGAGGGGAGAAGACGTACGGGATGACGCTAATTGGAGGTTACAATAGAGGTTCGGCAAGTGATCAGGCACGGTAATTGGTTGCGCAGACCTTGTGGCAAAAAGGGACGCGTTGTTGACGTCATGCCTGGTCAGTGTCTGCGGCTGCAGAATCAGCCTGGGCTCACGAACCTCGAATGTGGCTGGCGGACCGAGGCTCGAGTTGAGATCAATGTTGACAAACCAGGGGCCGAGGCTTGTGGGCTTGCATCTCCTCTAATGAGCTCATTGATAAGAAAAGGCTTACCAAATGCACCTTTGTCACATGGTAAGATATGTTGAAGTGGCATGACATATCCACTAAGTCGTTTGTCGTCGAACAAACTTAGGCGTGTCAATATGGTCCGGCATGGACCGAGAAATCATGATCAAAACAAGCTGAAGCACCGCCTGAGCAAAGAAAAACAAGTGATGGTCCAGCGGAAAGAATGGTGTACCACTGATGCTCCATGCAAACACGGTAGCACCAGCAGCAGGTGCCATTGCCCTGAAAAAGAGACTGATGGATTGAGTGATCCCTGTAATGGCACCAATCAAAGCTGGATCCGAGATGCTGTTGTTGATGAAGATAAAACCTGATGTAAACACACACTGCGCAAAACTGCAGATGCATGCACCAGATGTCAAACAAATACCGCACACCACATCCATCACATGCATCACAGACACCACAAGAACTACACAATGAACCCATCGCACACCACATGCACCACATGCACCACATGCATCACATGCATCACACGCACCACATCCATCACACACATCATACCCACCCCGCACGTCACAAACATGACATGCATCTCATATGTCACACACAACACACAAATGTGACACGAGCCATCAATATCCTGGCTGGCTGCAGTTTTGAGATTCAAGTGTGCAAGTGTGCACAAGCAAACAGATGTGAAATGAGTCTTCACAAGCAGACAGGTGTGGAATGAATAAACCTCCACATCATAGTGCCGGATATAGTCACAAGCGGCAGACCACAGTGATTCTTCCCGTGCCTCAATGGCAACACCCATGCTTTCACCGGCCACTCATAAAGCAACTCAACCTGAGCAAACTCCCATGAAGCAACTCAACCTGAGTAAACTCCCATGAAGCAACTCAACCTGAGTAAACTCCCAGGAAGCAACTCAACCTGAGCAAACTCCCAGGAAGCAACTCAACCTGAGTAAACTCCCAGGAAGCAACTCAACCTGAGCAAACTCCCAGGAAGCAACTCAACCTGAGTAAACTCCCAGGAAGCAACTCAACCTGAGTAAACTCCCAGGAAGCAACTCAACCTGAGTAAACTCCCAGGAAGCAACTCAACCTGAGCAAACTCCCAGGAAGCAACTCAACCTGAGCAAACTCCCATGAAGCAACTCAACCTGAGTAAACTCCCATGAAGCAACTCAACCTGAGTAAACTCCCATGAAGCAACTCAACCTGAGTAAACTCCCAGGAAGCAACTCAACCTGAGTAAACTCCCAGGAAGCAACTCAACCTGAGTAAACTCCCAGGAAGCAACTCAACCTGAGCAAACTCCCAGGAAGCAACTCAACCTGAGTAAACTCCCAGGAAGCAACTCAACCTGAGCAAACTCCCAGGAAGCAACTCAACCTGAGTAAACTCCCAGGAAGCAACTCAACCTGAGCAAACTCCCATGAAGCAACTCAACCTGAGTAAACTCCCAGGAAGCAACTCAGCTCAAACAAAGTGTCCATGCTGGCACTCTTATCTTGAAAGCGCACCTTCGCAAGGCGAGAGAGAGGCAAGCAGCGATGACAGTGGCGCCACTGCCATGGCCGAACATGCGGATGAAGGGAAGCCATGTGACTATAACGAATCCGCCTGACAGCGCCACCTGATTGGCCGAAACAGCACGACGAATGACAGGCAGGAGAGAAGGCATGCAGACTTGATATGAGAAGCGAATAAGCGAACTACCGAATAAATCATTCGTGTGCAAACTCACTTGAGCTACAGTAACACTAACATGAGTCACAGTAACACTCACTCACCTGAACGGCTCCCCGGGCACCCACTCTGTTGACAAGAGGCGCATACACGTACAGCTGGAAAATCACCTGAGAGTAATAAACAGGGAGGAATTGTAAGTCGACTATATACTGCCTTGTCACAACCGGGAAATCATCTGAGTCGACGCAAGCGGGTGTTGGGAGGGATAAGCTGAAGGCAGGAGGGGGCGTGAGAACGAGAGGCAGGGAGATAAATATCGAAGGGGAATGAACGAAATGGACCCAGCAATTATATTTCCTGTTTCCAGTCTTGAGGCATCTCAAAAGAGATTTCCAGCTTCCAGTCAAGAGGAGTTGCTCGCTGTGCTGAGCTTGATGGTTTGAAGACAAATCGATTCATTTGGTCATCACAGATTATTTATCAGTAACACCTGCTGCTTCTGATTATGCCTGCAATCAGAAGCATCAAATACATTTGCTTGAACGAGCTGCAGCTTTGAACACCTACAGAGCATATTCCTGCGCAGGTTTGGGCCATGGCAACTTGGTTTGTGCCGAAGCTGAGCCCTCCAAACCTCCAGTCAGTGAGGCTCCAGAGAGGAAAGACCTGCGAGGGAGAGGAAGAGGTGAAGCGCGAGTGAACGAGAGAAAACTACTTTTTCAGTGTTACTGTCTGGAATTGTCACGAGGGGATCAAGATAGCATAGATGCATCCCAGCCTGAGTTATGCATGTATCCTGAAGCGGCTGTACTGAGGTGACTTTTGAGTTGACTCAAAAGTCAGCATAGATGAATCCCAGCATGAGTTGTGGATATATCCTGAAGCGGCTGTAAATCCAGCCTACGTGCGTCACCCACTGACAGGTGAACGAGCTTTTGCAGGTGGGCCGCATCAGTATCGTGACATCTTGGCACCTCACCTCCCTGTGTCGCATGTTCGCAACTGTTGTTGTTACAACTCACCTCGTTGTTATCACATTCTGCTTAGCAGCTCACCTCGTTGAATGAGGTTGTAGCGAAGCTGAGCAGGGAGAGGAAGAGGAACGCCTTTACTGGGAGGGATGATGGCAATTGTTATAATGATGGTGATGGTAATGATGATGGTGGAGTGATGTGGAGTGAAGGTGATGAATGCGGGGATGTGCAATGGAGAGAGTAGGGTTGGTGCTTAAGGCAACTGTGGAAGCTGAGCAGAAAGAGGGGAGAGGAAGTGGACAGCCTTCACTGGGGGGGATGATGGTGATAGTGGTGATGGTGGTGATTGCGGGAGGTTGCGCAATGGAGAGAGTAGGGTTGGTGCTTAAGGAAACTGTGGAAGCTGAGCAGAGAGGAAGAGGAATGACTTATGTGGGGGGATGATAGTGATAATGGTGATGATGGTGATGATGGTGATGATGGTAATTGCGGGAATTGAAACAAAGAGATTTAGGATGGTGCTTAACGCAACTGTAGAAGCTGAGCGGAAAAGAGGAATAGGAAGAGAGGCAAGTGCAGGCAAGCAGCAGGGTTGGGAGATGGAGAGGGAGCTGGAAGAGGAGAAGTTGGGAGACGGAGGGAGGAGGAGGAAGAGGTGCAGAGGAGGGAGGCACATGTGGCAGAATCAAGAAGTGCTTTTGTGACACTTCTGAGAATTCCCAAAACCGACACGAACTAGGTTCAGAGAAGAAGAGAGAGGTACCTCTGGAAGAGTTAAATGATTATTTGTGCCATTTTTTTAGATTCTCAAACGACACCAACAAGGCGCGAAGGAGTGGAGAGAGGTACCTGTGGCAGAGTCAAAGAGAGCGCGTGCGAGCGGCTGGCCACAGAGAGGCGTGAAGAGGTTCACTGGAGAGAGAGCAGTGGATGGAAGGCAGCAGCAGCAGAGACACTGTAGCTTGGGCAGGCAGTAGCAGCACAGGAAGGAAGAGGAACGGGAGGAGGAGAAACGGGAGGCGGAGAAACGGGAGGAGGGGGAGAAACGGGAGGAGGGGGAGAAACGGGAGGAGGGGGAGAAACGGGAGGAGGAGGAGAAACGGGAGGAGGGGGAGCAGAAGCCATTAGCAGTGGCCGTGCTGTCAGTTTCAGCTGTGGTAACTCGCAGTTCCCCTTCCCCCCCTCCGGATCCAAGTAGTGGCTCCCTCAAATGATCCCCATCCAGGTGTTTCCCACCCAGGTGATCCTTCAGGTGATCCTTCAGGTGATCCTTCAGGTGCCCTCTGTTGTCAGCTACCATGCATGCCCGCTCCTCATCATACTTCCCCCACCCTCCTCCTCTTTCTCTCCCTCCTCCGCCTGCTTCTCTTCCCCCTGTGGCCTCTGGCCGTTCACCCTCTCCTAAGCTTGTACCCCACATCCCGCCACTCCCTCTTGACTGCCCTGCTCCTGCCTCAGCTCCCTCTCTTCCTCCTCTCACTTCTCCACACCCTTCCCCTTCCTTCCCTCCTTCCTCCCATCCAAGCTTCCTCAGTTCCTCCTCCTCCCCTTCCTCCTCCTCCTCCTCCTCCTCCTCTTCTCCTCGCTCCTCTGCAATGGATTGCAACAGTGGCTGGCTCAGGCTTGACCTCCTACTTCCATTCCCCACGGTGCTGCTGCTGCTGCTGCTGCCAATACTGCTTCCACTGCCCAAGCTGCCACTGCCGCTGCTGTCGCTGCTGCCACTCCTGCTGCTGCCACCACCACTGCTGCCGCTGCCAATCCTGCTACTGCAACACTCCTTGTCAAGAGATTCATCAGATCGGATTTCACGGTCTATGTCAACCACAGGGTGAGCCCACCCCTTGGTCACTGGCAGCAGCGCAGCAGCAGCAGCAGCAGCAGCAGCAGCAGCAGCAGCAGCAGCAGCAGCAGCAGCAGCACTGGCAGCGTCACTGCCACTACCACTGCTGCTACCACCTCTGCCACAGACAGGAGTCACAGGACTAACAGCATCATCAGATCGAATCTCACTGTCTATGTCAACCACCCGGTGAGCCCACCCCTTGGTCTCTGGGAGCAGTGCAGCGGTAGCGAGGAGGCCGAGGAGGGAGAGGAGGGAGAGCAGCAGGCAGGGCAGGAGGAAAGGGAGGCGGGCGAAGAGAGAGTGCGGGGGGAAGAGCCACGGGTACTTGAGTGCTGGCTCGCACAGGAAGCCGCCCAGTGCTGGACCTGTGAGGGGCAGGTGCGGAGAGAAGGGGCGAAGGAGAGAAGGGGCGAAGGAGAGAAGGGTGCGCAGAGAGGGGGGAGGGCAGGAGAGAAGGGGTGAGGAGAGAAGGGTGCGCAGAAATGTGTAAATGCAGGCAAATGCAGCGAGAATGGCACAGAAACAGCAATTGCACGTGTGTGTCGAGTCGACTGAAAGATAGGCATGTGCGTGGGAGCAGCAGCACACGAATGTATGGAGGAATACTTTTGGGGCGCCTAAAAACTCGTCCCACAGCACTCGCATGTGCAGGGGGAAGACAGTGAGGAGCGTCCAGCATACCAATCAGCAGCCCGACTTTTGAGGCGCCTCAAAAGGGGAAGACCGTGAGGAGCGTCCAGCATACCAATCAGCAGCCCGACCCGACATGAGAAGAACTTTGGGCTGGCCTGGTCCCTCTGGACCAACCAAGCAACGTACCAATGAGCAGTCCGAGACCGAAGTTGGTTCCCAGCAGGGCAAAGCTGATGGAGGGGAGGCGGAAGATACGCATATGTTGCAATGGCAGTGGGGGGTGAACTTGGGGTGAACTTGGGGTGAACTTGGGGTGAACTTGGGGTGAACTTGGGGTGAACTTGGGGTGAACTTGGGGTGAACTTGGGGTGAACTTGGGGTGAACTTGGGGTGAACTTGGGGTGAACTTGGGGTGAACTTGGGGTGAACTTGGGGTGAACTTGGGGTGAACTTGGGGTGAACTTGGGGTGAACTTGGGGTGAACTTGGGGTGAACTTGGGGTGAACTTGGGGTGAACTTGGGGTGAACTTGGGGTGAACTTGGGGTGAACTTGGGGTGAACTTGGGGTGAACTTGGGGTGAACTTGGGGTGAACTTGGGGTGAACTTGGGGTGAACTTGGGGTGAACTTGGGGTGAACTTGGGGTGAACTTGGGGTGAACTTGGGGTGAACTTGGGGTGAACTTGGGGTGAACTTGGGGTGAACTTGGGGTGAACTTGGGGTGAACTTGGGGTGAACTTGGGGTGAACTTGGGGTGAACTTGGGGTGAACTTGGGGTGAACTTGGGGTGAACTTGGGGTGAACTTGGGGTGAACTTGGGGTGAACTTGGGGTGAACTTGGGGTGAACTTGGGGTGAACTTGGGGTGAACTTGGGGTGAACTAGGGGTGAACTTGGGGTGAACTTGGGGTGAACTTGGGGTGAACTTGGGGTGAACTTGGGGTGAACTTGGGGTGAACTTGGGGTGAACTTGGGGTGAACTTGGGGTGAACTTGGGGTGAACTTGGGGTGAACTTGGGGTGAACTTGGGGTGAACTTGGGGTGAACTTGGGGTGAACTTGGGGTGAACTTGGGGTGAACTTGGGGTGAACTTGGGGTGAACTTGGGGTGAACTTGGGAGGGGTTTGGTTTCGACTTGGAATGAAGGAGTTGAAGAAGAGATGGAGAGATGGAGAGATGGAGAGATGAAGAGATGGGGAGATGGGGAGATGGGGAGATGGGAGATGGGGAGATGGGGAGATGGGGAGATGGGGAGATGGGGAGATGGGGAGATGGGGAGATGGGGAGATGGGGAGATGGGGAGATGGGGAGATGGGGAGATGGAGAGATGGAGAGATGGAGAGATGGAGAGATGGAGAGATGGAGAGATGGAGAGATGGAGAGATGGAGAGATGGAGAGATGGAGAGATGGAGAGATGGAGAGATGGAGAGATGGAGAGATGGAGAGATGGAGAGATGGAGAGATGGAGAGATGGAGAGATGGAGAGATGGAGAGATGGAGAGATGGAGAGATGGAGAGATGGAGAGATGGAGAGATGGAGAGATGGAGAGATGGGGAGATGGAGAGATGGAGAGATGGAGAGATGGAGAGATGGAGAGATGGAGAGATAGAGAGATGGAGAGATGGAGAGATGGAGAGATGGAGAGATGGAGACATGGAGAGATGGGGAGATGGAGAGATGGAGAGATGGAGAGATGGAGAGATGGAGAGATGGAGAGATGGAGAGATGGAGAGATGGGGAGATGGAGAGATGGAGAGATGGAGAGATGGAGAGATGGAGAGATGGAGAGATGGAGAGATGGAGAGATGGAGAGATGGAGAGATGGAGAGATGGTTCTGGCCTGCAAGATGAAGCAAGAAGCGTGGAAACTGGGAAATCACAGATGGAATGTTGCAGTGGCTCAGCAAGCAGTGAATCGGAGTGATTGGTTAGTGAGTGGGTGATCATGGCGAACGAATAAACACCACAGATGGTTTGATTATTGTCAGATTCAGAAAACAAATGTGGCACAGAGAATGGATCAGAGGAGCAAAAGGCCTCTCACCCTTGCGCCTGATTGGTGGAGTCACAGAGCTCAGCCACTGTGCTGCATGGAAGGATGACGAGGAGAGGGATGAGAGGATGGGGAGAAGAGGATGGGGAGGGGGATAAGAGGATGGGGAGAAGAGGTTAGGGAGGGGGATGAGATGATGGGGAGAGGGATGAGAGGATGAGGAGAGGTATGAGAGGATGGGAAGAGGCATGATGCAATGAGAATACGAAGAACAACAAGCAAGGACTGCAAAGCACTGTAATATTATATTGTAATGCAGGGACAGGGACAGGGACAGGGACAGGGACAGGGACAGGGACAGGGACAGGGACAGGGACAGGGACAGGGACAGGGACAGGGACAGGGACAGGGACAGGGACAGGAACAGGGACAGGGACAGGGACAGGGATAGGGACAGGGACAGGGACAGGGAAAGGGATAGGGACAGAGATAGGGACAGGGATAGAGACAGGGATATGGACAGGGACAGGAAAGAAAAATCACGTTGCCAGTGGCGGTGATGGTGGAGAGGAGGCAGTGCAGGAGGTGGGGGAGGGAAAGAGGATCGTAAGTCAATGGGTGAAGGACATGTTGATGGCCGTAAAGAGGGGGTTGGCCTTGGGAGGCAGCGATGGTGGCGAGCAGGCCGTGCAGGAGGTTCAGGCAAGGGGGGGAGGAGCGGAAGGGTGAAGCACAGCGGGATGGCTGGGAGGCAGAGACTCACGTTCGGCCGGTGGCAGCTATGGTGGAGAGGAGGCCGTGTAGGAGGTGGGGGAGGGAGAGAAGGTCAATAGGTGAAGGGTAGGGGATGGCCGTAAAGGCAGGGGCACGGCACGGGCAGGGAAGGAGACTCACGTTCGACCAGTGGCAGCGATGGTGGAGAGGAGGCCGTGTAGGAGGCGGCAGAGCATGGCGGCATGGAAGCACGTGCAGAGGCCAAACGCCCCCCCGCACACCTATCAGCAAGACTGGTGAAGGACATGGAGATTGGCTTGGGAGACAGCGACTCACGTCCTGCCAGTGGCGGCGATGGTGGAGAGGAGGCCGTGCAGGAGGCGGCAGAGCATGGCGGCGTGGAAGGAGGTGCAGAGGCCGAACGCCCCCCCGCACACCATGTTCGCCGCTAGACCTATCAGCAACACTGGCTTGCGCCCCCAGTGGTCTGATAGGATGCTGTGAGGTGAGGGAGGAGGGGGAGGGGGGAAATGGTGGGTGAGAGTGGGGTATGTCTGAAGGCAAGCAGCACAGCGGTGCAGACATAAGAACGTCCCCCCCGCACACCATGTTGGCCGCCAGGCCTATCAGCAACACTGGCTTGCGCCCCCAGTGGTCTGATAGGATGCTGTGAGGGGGGAGGCGGAGGGGGGAAGTTGGGGGAGAGCGAATGAATTGAATTGACAGTAGAGGGAGAGAGGGAGAGACAGAGAGATGGCCAGCGGGGTGGGGAGAGGTGGACGTGTTCTCCGCCCTGAAAGCAAGACAGGAAGGGATGCGTAGAACGGAGGGGGCCGTGGGAGCTTGATGAATCGAAACAAGTGGAGTGGAGGCAGCAGCCGCGTGTGTGTGATGGGTCTATTTTTTAGTCGACTACAAAAATAGACAAGTGGAGGCAGCAGTCATTGCGATGATGTGGGATGCACGTGAGCCGTTGAACGTGTGATCACGACTGTGGATTCGCAGAAAAAGGGAACCCAGAAAAGCCAAAAACCCTCCGAGGTGGTTCGGCTGGCCTCCCCCCCCACCCCCTCCCCCCCTCCTCCCCCAACCCCCCTCACCCACCCACCCCCAGAAGCTGCTGCTGAGGAGTGAGCCGACGAAGTAAGAGGAGCCGAGATAGCCCGCATAGTAGCTGACGGACGGGTTAAGACGGGTGGAACGATGCGAACGGGACGAGACGAACGGCGAACGGGAAGAGGGAGGGGGGACGGGGGGGAAGAAGGAGGGACAACACATGCGAGAACGGATTGAAATAAAAGAGTCCACAATACAACAAGAAGCGAGCTGGAAGTTAAGATTGAATGCGGTTGACGTGGACTGTTAATCCTTTGTGCTGACGTGGACTGAGGCAGACACACGTCACGTCACAGTTCAGCGAAATAAATGGTGAAGGAGCACCACGAAGTACGGCGAGTCGATACATTGCTAATTCACGCGATGAATCGATCTGTAGTGTCTCGTGGTTGCTCATTCAGTGCAAGGACGTGACGAAAACGCGTTTCGCTGATGTGCAGCTAATTCAAGCGCGCAGCGACCACATCCAGCCGGTTCGCATTCAATCGCTGAGACCGGCTGGATGATCATCCGACTGCTGAGACCACAAGTACAGCTTATCTCCACAAAGCTTATCTCAGCTTCGTGGAGGCGTCTGTAAGGCGAAAGCTGGCGACCATAAGAGGCAGCAAGGGGACGCGGATGGTAGGACGGGCATGTCTCGTGCTGACGCTGGTCGGCGTCGCGACGCCCGACGGTCGTTTGTAACTAACCCGAGCTTGGTGGGGTCGTCAATGACGTGGAAACTGGCGACCATGAGCGGCAGGAAGGGGAAGAGGATGGTGGGCGCGAGCGCATTGGTGAAGTACATGACGCAGATCGCCAGCACCGGGCCCCGAGGCAGCGGGTTAGGCTTGGAAGGCTGGCTCGGAGCCATGTCTGGGATCCGCGTGCGCGGAACGCCAGGTATGGCGGTGGTGAGGAATTCGGATTCACCGAGACGGTAGAGAAGTGATAGCCACACGCCGATAAGATTGCATCGCAGAGCCCATCATGTGCGATGGTTGGTAGCTTGCGTGTAAATGACGCCGCTTTGTTACGAGTGCAATTGAGCGAGCGAGAATTGCACTATCGAAGCAAAAAGTACAAATGAGCGAAGGCATGAGCGAAGAATATATAGCGAAACTATAGTGGTAACGGTAATGTGTGGGAAATGGGGTGCACGAAGGGCCTAGCGTCGAGGTTGGGAATGCCGAGGCGGAGGTCCGGAGCGCGGGTTACCAACCGAGCCGTGAGGTTGGGTCGCGTCGTGAACAGTGGCGGGAATGGTGTCGAAGCGAGTGTCGCGAGTGGTAACGGATTACTGTTGGGTGCTGTTGGCGGGAACAGTGGTGTACGCGCTGAGTAGGGACGCGAAGTAAGGAGAAGGAATTTTCCTTACACGCTTACTTATGTGAGAATTTGGGCTGTGCGGTGTTTCGCCAATGGTTGGTGTGGAGGCGATTTTCCGGTTCCCCTTGTCTCGCCCAAGCGCTGTAACACGTAAAAGAACCGCTCTGGAAATAGACGCATCTCACCCCACCGCATCCAAATCAGCTCTCGTAGTAGGACCTGCTGACTACTCAATTCCTGGCAAACCATATACTTCTACAGCTGAATATGGTAGGCTAAGATTTAACTGACAGGGAAATATGGCAAGTCATTTGAACCGATTAATAACATATAGAAAATATCCAGGCCCTTGAGAAAAGGTAGTTCTTATGGGAATAAAGGATGGCGTTGTAATGCTGTACAACCATATCGTTCAAATGTGATGATAAAAACTGTAGATCAAATTCAAAAAGTACGCTGTTCTGTTACAAGGCTTGAGCATACTATTGGTAGACACATCACACGGCCATACATTTCGAGCCACATCAGCAAGCCGCTCGCACCAACCAAGCATTGCGACTCGACTTCCACGCCTGAGCCATCCTGGTCGTGGTGTGCTCCCTTTTCGCCTAGCGGCGGGGCACTGGGCAGCAGTGGTTTCGAGCTTTTATCGGAGGTTCGTGTCAAGCTTCTGGCCCAGCCAGGCTTCGGAGCTTATTGAGACGGACTAGCTTGGGGACGTGTTTGTCGGTGCGCGATGCTTATCCAATCGAGACCGTCCATCGTCGAATTTCGGCATCCCTCCAAGCTTCACCATTTTCCAGCTTCTCCAGGTTTCCTTCCTCCAACGTACAGTAGAGTCCTCCTACTCCGCCAGCCCCCCCAGGACCCACCCAGCAAGCACGCTCCAAGTTCCGTCCATCCACTTGAATGCCTTTTTCCAGTTGCTCAATGCGGGTCTGCTGCTGCTGCTGCTTCTCGCTTGTCTGTGGCCCCAATTTTCATCAGCTCCCTTGGGCGCTGAGTGGTCGGGTGTAGCAGAGAAAAACTGCGTGCAGTGCAATATTTCTACAAGACCTCGTTTGGGTCTCATTCAAGAAAGAAACGGCGTTTAAATTAATAGAATGTATTAGCGTCGAGCACTGAAGTTGGCCACATCACCGCATTTCTCGCGTGCCTTTCGACTCAAACTAGGAAGCACTGCAATTTGCACGAGGGACCTGTGTATGAGCCTTCTCACGTGTTTCGCCTTGAGTGGAACCGTCTCGTAGCAGCAGGGGTCCAGAAAAAGCATGCTGATGCCTCACTTTCGTTATTTTCAGAAGCTACCAGCCAATATGCGTCCCCATTCTCAAATTTCTTCGTGCGACCTTCTATTTTCAACATCCAAACGCCTGGGAAGTAGCAAAATCCCGTTCTTGCTCGTTATCTTAGTCACCCTTCACGCCACCTCGCCAGTAAGACCAGCCGAAGCAGTCAAAACTACAGTTTACCGTCACGCGGATGTTCCCGACGCGTTGCTCCGATTACAGCACGACGCGCGATCGCTTATCGAGCTTCACGAGTCGTACTATCAACCACAGCAGGTCCGGCAGCAGTCGAGCGGCAATGCCTACCACCAACAGCAGCATGGCGTCGGGCGGCATCTGCTGCAGTCGGTGCTGTCGCCAGACGGCTCGACTGTGGTCAATGCGACAGGGTCTGTTCTGGCGAATGCGACAATTCTGCTTGCGACGGATCGCGCGCGTCGCATCAACCCGATAAACGAGTTCAAGTACTACATCGGCGGGTGGAACTTGTCGTCTGACGATTACTGGGCCGTAAGTGACAGTTTTTTTTTTTTTTTGGGAGGGGCCTTTCGGTGAACACAGGAGGTCGCCCTGTTCCCGCCCCGCCCTACAGCTTATCACACACAGTAGCTCCCTCAATACACTTCCCTCCTCCCTTATCGTCCATTATCTTGACCCCACCGTCGCTCCACCCCACCTATCCACCTCCACTCCCCCGCTTGAATGACGCTCTCCAAAGGTTCGCCTTCCAGGCCGTGTCTGCTCGCTGCTCGCCTCGTCCCTCTCTCTCCTCGTCCCTCTCTCTCCTCGTCCCTCTCTCTCCTCCCCCCTCTCCACGCCTCATCCTCTCTCTTTCCCTCTTCTCTCGTACCGACGCGTCGCGTGCTTAGCTCCACTAGCCTCGCGTATTTGGAAGCGCGCCCTTTCTCCAATGTCTCGACCCGCCATTCGTCTCCCTGCACCACCGTCCTTGAAAGCGTGCGTTTCGTGCACTTGCCTCTCCCACTTCTCTTTTCCCCAACCCACGACTCCCCTCCTCACGCACCGACAGTGAAATCTTACTCCTTCCCTCTCCCTTCCCCTCCGCTCCTCACGCACCCCCTAACAGTCCGTGGCCCGCCCGCGACCGGCTCGGCTACTGTTCAGCGTTATCTTGCCCCTCTTAGCTCTCCACTCCTCACCCCTCCCTTCCCCCTCCCACGCACCCCCCACCAGTCCGTGACATTCTCCGTGGTATACGCGCCGGTGATCGGATTCGCGTGGCTGCTGCTGGGAGTGGGCTTCGTGCTCTTCCTGGTGTCGCTCTTCCTCTTCTGCCGCGCGCGCTGGGACGAGATGCGCGACCCCGCCGCGCACGTGTACTCGCCGCAGAACATCTCGCTATTGCTATACGCGCTCGTCGTCGGCGCCATGATTGTCATGTGAGAAAACGGATTCGACTCGACGAGAATTGGTCGAGTTTTGAGAGTCGTCTGAACAGTAACACGGGAAGGGGGAATGAATGGGAAGTATAATGTGTATGAGTCACCTCGCCAAACGCAGGATGACTGCGACCGCGATAGGGGGGGGGAGCAGGGGGAAAAGTGCTCCCTTTCCTGGTGCCGCCGTGCCCCCTCCCTTCTTCTCGCCGTCGCGTTTCCCCGACCCCTTTCCCCTGTCCTCTTTCCCCAGTTCTCTTGCTTCTCAACTTCCCCCAGTCCTCGTTCTTGTTTCCTAGTAACGATTTTCCCTTTCCCTTCCGCTGTGGTTTGTAACCGTCGTTTGGTAACCAGCACGGGATTCGGCCTGATGATTGCCGGGAGCGTGCAGCTGAACGACAGGCTGGGCGAAATTGGCGACTACACGATTAAAGTTACCAACGCGACGACGACGGCGGTGTACAACGTGGCGTCGGCGATCCAAGTCACCGCGGGCACGCGAATCAACGACCAGCTCTTGCAGCGTAAGGGTCTCCCCCTTGCTCCACCCTCAGCCAACGTTCCCCGTTCCGTTCCCCCTTACCTGCGCGCTCATTTACTCCGCTCTCGTCTAACGGTTGTTGAGACTCCCTCCCTTCATCGTGCACGCGCTCTCACCCCTCTCACCTGCCGCTCTTCTTTTTTTTTGAACTCCTATTCTGGTTTCGCTCGTCTCTCAATTCCTCCACCTCTCGTTCCCTCAACAATTCCGCCTTTCCCCCCACATCCCCCACACCCTCTTTTCTCCTCCCCTCCTCCCACCCCTCTCTTCCCCTCCTCCCCTTTTTCCCCATCCCCCTCCCCCTTTGACCTACTCTCTCTCTCCTCCGCTCGTCCCCTCGCGCCCCCCTGCAGCGGAGCAGCGGCTGCAGATCTTCGAATTCTCCAAGAGGGTGACGTCAGCGGCGCTGGAGCTAAACGACAAAATAACGAACAGTGACTCGGAGCTGCGAGACTTCGGGAAGAAAATGTGAGCGCGGGGAAGGAAAGGGAGGGCGCGGAAGGGGAAAGGTGGGGTGGCAGGGTGAGTTGACGACAGGGATGGGTGCGATGGAAGTGGGGAAGAAGAGGGGGCAGGGAGTGGGGGGTGGGGAGAGGGGAAATAATAAGTTGCAGCGAGCTGACGAAAATTCAAATTCGATATCCCAATGGTAAAAAAATGCCACATAATGTACCATATCCTAAAGACCTTGCTTGATTGAGTACCAGATTTTACTATAAGCCATAATGTATTGTATTGCGCGCCGTTTATGAAGCATTTTGTCCAACTGTTCGTGCTCCTCCCACACCAACAGGTCCATCACTGTGTTTGTCGTGGGGTGCATCGCCTTTGCCTTTGTGGTTCTCACTGTCGGTACGCACCTCCTCCTTTTTCTCCTCTCTCCCCCTCCCCCCCCACCCCTTCTCACTGTGTTTGTCTCTGGGGTTCCCACCCCCTCCCACCGCTCTCACTCTCGCCCCTTCCCTCCCCCTCGACTTTTCCCTCTTGCGCATGGAAACGCTCGCGCACAAACGCACGCTCCCACACGCGCAAACACGCCCGTTTGTGCCTCGCTCATTCCCTCGCTCCCCCCTCTTCTCCCCTCTCCCCTCTCCCCCCCATTATACCCACCCATCCTCCAATGGGCCACCTTTCCGAGGCGCCTAAATATTGCTTCACTCATTCCCCCCCTCCCCCACTCCCCTCTCCCCCCCATTATGTCCATCCACCAGTGGCGGCCATACTCCAGTGGGCCACCTTCTCTCACGTGTAAGCTGCTGCTGCTGCTGCTGCTGCTGCGACTCCTTACTTACTTACCTCCCTGCTTTCCTAACAGCTTGCCGCTTTGTCTCTGTAGCTTACACGGTACCCACATGCCACTTTCCAACTTTGAGGCGCCTCAGAAGTTTCCCCCTTCTGATTCCCCATAGCTTACATGCCACCCCCTGTGTTCCCACATGCCACTTACTTGCCATCAAGCTGTCTCTCATGCCACTCCACATGCCATCTCACATACCGTCATGCCATCCAAAGATCTTCACTCGGTGTCCTCACCCCGCCACCCTCCCCTCCACCACACCCTCCCTTTCCCCCCTCTTCTCCTGTGCCCTGCAGCATGTGCACGCTCGTGTGGGTCACAGCCTTGGTCACCTGGTGCACTGTGGCCGTCTTCCTCACTGTTGTCACGTGAGTGCCCGCCCAGCCCATCCCTCATCTCTAGAATCCGCTCAACCCGCACACAGCCTTCCGCACCCTGCCCAAGCAAGCCATCTTCGAATCCCATGACTTCACAATCAACACTCACAGCCTCCTCACCTCGTGCATTGTGGCCGCCTTCCTCACCCGGTACTAGCATGAGCTCCCAGTCTCTCTCTCCCACTAGATTCCACTCACCACCCCCAGCCTTCCTAACCGTCTGTACCACGCTCATCCCCAACCCCCCCCCACCTTCCCCCTATCCCACCCCCTCTCCACTACCCCCTCCCCTTCTTTTCCTCAGAGTCAGCGCAGATACAGAATCAGCAGTGAAGGAAGTGACGCTGTACCCATCCCTCAACACCGCATTCAGCCGCTGGGTACCGTGCCTCAACGCCACCAAGCTCGGCGACGCGGCTAGATTCGCCCGCTTTGCTGCCTATGACGTCATCACCTTCACCAACGCCAACATTCAGGGCACATACCCCAAGGTACGTCACTGTTACATGCCAAATACCATGCGGTGTGTCACTTTTCGTGCCAAATACCATGCGGTGTGTCACTTTTCGTGCCAAATACCATGCGGTGTGTCACTTTTCGTGCCAAATACCATGCGGTGTGTCACTTTTCGTGCCAAATACCATGCGGTGTGTCACTTTTCGTGCCAAATACCATGCGGTGTGTCACTTTTCGTGCCAAATACCATGCGGTGTGTCACTTTTCGTGCCAAATACCATGCGGTGTGTCACTTTTCGTGCCAAATACCATGCGGTGTGTCACTTTTCGTGCCAAATACCATGCGGTGTGTCACTTTTCGTGCCAAATACCATGCGGTGTGTCACTTTTCGTGCCAAATACCATGCGGTGTGTCACTTTTCGTGCCAAATACCATGCGGTGTGTCACTTTTCGTGCCAAATACCATGCGGTGTGTCACTTTTCGTGCCAAATACCATGCGGTGTGTCACTTTTCGTGCCAAATACCATGCGGTGTGTCACTTTTCGTGCCAAATACCATGCGGTGTGTCACTTTTCGTGCCAAATACCATGCGGTGTGTCACTTTTCGTGCCAAATACCATGCGGTGTGTCACTTTTCGTGCCAAATACCATGCGGTGCGTCACTTTTCGTGCCAAATACCATGCGGTGCGGTGTGTCACGCTCTTCATGCACCACATCCCAATGGATGCTAAGCTAATCTCATCAGTGCGTCACCCCAACAATCTCTGTAGCTCGTCTGCTGTCGCCCGCACACTCTTCCCCCCTGTCCCCAATCGTTCCGACCCTCTCTTCCCGAGTCAACGCCTCCCCCACCTCAACGCGTCTATGCCCATTCTGCTCCCTGATTGGCCATCGCTCACACACTACCCGCCTTTCCCCCGCACCTTCCCCCGTCTTTCCGCCCGTCCCTCCCTTCACCAGCTGTTTCCTCGTCTGAGCGCGTCAGAAGGCATCTGCTCTCGCTTTGGCCCGGGCCCCAACTACCTTTACAAAGATTCTAGACTCGACTCAAAACTACCCTGCCTGTACAAAGGCTCTGCCCTGCCTGCTCTTTCCCCCCGCACGCCCAACTCACCCCCCTCCTTTCCCCCCTTTTCTCCCGACCAGCTATTCCCCCGTCTGAACGCGTCAGCAGACATCTGCTCGCCCTTTGGCCCGGCCCCCCCGACTACCTGTACAACGTTCTTAAGATCGACTAAAAAAATCCCCCCCACAACTCGCCCTCTCCCTCCCCCCTCCCCACCACCAGCTGTTCACCCGTCTGAACGCGTCAGCAGGCGTCTGCTCGCCCTTCGGCCCGGGCCCTGACTATCTGTACAACGACACTGCCTGCCCGCCCAACTCCATCTCCTTCCGCCAGTTGAAAGACGTGAGCACACGAATGGGCTTTAAGTCACGAGTGGGCAGATGTAGGAGGTGGGTGGGCAAGATTAGCAGGAAATTGGGCGGAGTTGGGAGGAAAATGTGCCTAACTACCTGCTAATATATAAGGGAGTGAGGTGCTACATATAGGAGGTAAATGGTCATAGCTAGGAAGCTTCTATGCAGACTCAAGCAGACAGACCAGCCTGGACCGACCATGGACGGTGCTGTGCCGCTAGTGGGCTGTGCCTGCCCCCCTCTCCCCACTCCCTCACTTCCCTCTTCCCTCCACGTGACTCTCCTCTCCTACCCCCTCCCCCCCACCTCCCATTCCCCCTCACGCCACAGCTGCTCCCGGAGGTCACCTGTCCGGACGCGGGCTGTCCCAAGGGATGGGAAGCCGCCATTGGACATTATGCCAGCAGCAGTGGAAGGGGATGCGCCATCCCCATTCACTCCCACCTTCTCCACACCTCCACACCTCTACCCCCCTTTCCCCACAGCTGCTCCCAGAGGTGACATGTCCAGACTCGGGCTGTCCCAGGGGCAAGGATGGGAAGCCGCCATTGGACATGCTACCGGCAGCAGTGGCGAGGGATGCGCCATCCCCATTCACTCCCACCTTCTCCACACCTCCACACCTCTAACCCCCTTTTTTCCACAGCTGCTCCCCGAGGTCACCTGTCCGGACGCAGGCTGTCCCAGGGGCAAGGATGGGAAGCCGCCATTGGACATGCTACCGGCAGCAGTGGCGAGGGATGCGCCATCCCCATTCACTCCCACCTTCTCCACACCTCCACACCTCTAACCCCCTTTTTTCCACAGCTGCTCCCCGAGGTCACCTGTCCGGACGCAGGCTGTCCCAGGGGCAAGGATGGGAAGCCGCCATTGGACATGGTGCCAGCAGCAGTGGCGAAGGACGTGCGCCTGGCATGGATCTCCGTGGACCGCCTGGATGGCTCCGTGCCGCTCGTGGCCGCCCTCTCCAACTGCTCGCACGTGTCCAGTGTTGCCAAGGTATGACAGGCTGTTGGTGAGGCCTGTGGGGTGTGGGCAGTGGGTGGCAAGCGCTGCAGTGCATAGGGGGCAGTGCTGCTAGTCGCCGCTCTCTCCAACTGCTCACACGTCTCCAGTGTTGCCAAGGTATGACAGGCTGTTGGTGAGGCCTGTGGGGTGTGGGCAGTGGGTGGCAAGCGCTGCAGTGCATAGGGGGCAGTGCTGCTAGTCGCCGCTCTCTCCAACTGCTCACACGTCTCCAGTGTTGCCAAGGTATGACAGGCTGTTGGTGAGGCCTGTGGGGTGTGGGCAGTGGGTGGCAAGCGCTGCAGTGCATAGGGGGCAGTGCTGCTAGTCGCCGCTCTCTCCAACTGCTCACACGTCTCCAGTGTTGCCAAGGTATGACAGGCTGTTGGTGAGGCCTGTGGGGTGTGGGCAGTGGGTGGCAAGCGCTGCAGTGCATAGGGGGCAGTGCTGCTAGTCGCCGCTCTCTCCAACTGCTCACACGTCTCCAGTGTTGCCAAGGTATGACAGGCTGTTGGTGAGGCCTGTGGGGTGTGGGCAGTGGGTGGCAAGCGCTGCAGTGCATAGGGGGCAGTGCTGCTAGTCGCCGCTCTCTCCAACTGCTCACACGTCTCCAGTGTTGCCAAGGTATGACAGGCTGTTGGTGAGGCCTGTGGGGTGTGGGCAGTGGGTGGCAAGCGCTGCAGTGCATAGGGGGCAGTGCTGCTAGTCGCCGCTCTCTCCAACTGCTCACACGTCTCCAGTGTTGCCAAGGTATGACAGGCTGTTGGTGAGGCCTGTGGGGTGTGGGCAGTGGGTGGCAAGCGCTGCAGTGCATAGGGGGCAGTGCTGCTAGTCGCCGCTCTCTCCAACTGCTCACACGTCTCCAGTGTTGCCAAGGTATGACAGGCTGTTGGTGAGGCCTGTGGGGTGTGGGCAGTGGGTGGCAAGCGCTGCAGTGCATAGGGGGCAGTGCTGCTAGTCGCCGCTCTCTCCAACTGCTCACACGTGTCCAGTGTTGCCAAGGTATGACAGGCTGTTGGTGAGGCCTGTGGGGTGTGGGCTGTGGGTGGCAAGCGCTGCAGTGCATAGGGGGCAGTGCTGCTAGTCGCCGCTCTCTCCAACTGCTCACACGTGTCCAGTGTTGCCAAGGTATGACAGGCTGTTGGTGAGGCCTGTGGGGTGTGGGCAGTGGGTGGCAAGCGCTGCAGTGCATAGGGGGCAGTGCTGCTAGTCGCCGCTCTCTCCAACTGCTCACACGTGTCCAGTGTTGCCAAGGTATGACAGGCTGTTGGTGAGGCCTGTGGGGTGTGGGCAGTGGGTGGCAAGCGCTGCAGTGCATAGGGGGCAGTGCTGCTAGTCGCCGCTCTCTCCAACTGCTCACACGTGTCCAGTGTTGCCAAGGTATGACAGGCTGTTGGTGAGGCCTGTGGGGTGTGGGCAGTGGGTGGCAAGCGCTGCAGTGCATAGGGGGCAGTGCTGCTAGTCGCCGCTCTCTCCAACTGCTCACACGTCTCCAGTGTTGCCAAGGTATGACAGGCTGTTGGTGAGGCCTGTGGGGTGTGGGCAGTGGGTGGCAAGCGCTGCAGTGCATAGGGGGCAGTGCTGCTAGTCGTCGCTCTCTCCAACTGCTCACACGTCTCCAGTGTTGCCAAGGTATGACAGGCTGTTGGTGAGGCCTGTGGGGTGTGGGCAGTGGGTGGGTGGCAAGCGCTGCAGTGCATAGGGGGCAGTGCTGCTAGTCGCCGCTCTCTCCAACTGCTCACACGTCTCCAGTGTTGCCAAGGTATGACAGGCTGTTGGTGAGGCCTGTGGGGTGTGGGCAGTGGGTGACAAGCGCTGCAGTGCATAGGGGGCAGTGCTGCTAGTCGCCGCTCTCTCCAACTGCTCGCACGTCTCCAGTGTTGCCAAGGTATGACAGGCTGTTGGTGAGGCCTGTGGGGTGTGGGTTGTGGGCAGTGGGTGGCAAGCGCTGCAGTGCATAGGGGGCAGTGCTGCTAGTCGCCACCCTCTCCAACTGCTCGCACGTCTCCAGTGTCGCCAAGGTGAGGCGGGCTGTGCAGTGCATGGTTGATAGTGCTGTGTGGAGGGCAGCAGTGGCGCTAGTGACTGCCCTGTCCTACAATGAGGGGCGCGCGTCAGTGCCCACAATGAGCTGTGTGGAGCCATGGTGCTGGCTGTGGGAGGAAGGGTCGTGGCATTATGGGTGGTGATGCTTACACAACTCATCTTCTTTCTCTACTTTTCCTCTCTCGTTCACAACCCACCAGTATGTAGGTGGGGCAGCAGCAGGAGTGCAGAGCGCGGCAGTGCTGCTGTGGACGGGAGCCATGGTGCTGGCTGTGGGAGCAATGGTGGTGGCTGTGGCGGCTCCCCTCTATGTCTTCCGTGCCATGCGCTGCCTGCCCGATGGGGGCAAGGGCGACAACAGGTGAGCTGGCAAAGCTGGGAAGGGGATGCGCGTGCAAATAAGTGCGCTGCTTTCAGCATTGAGCAGTTTTCTGTAACACTCCTGTTTCTTCTCCTTTTCTCGCCTCTCCGCTCATCTCAATAACCCTCTTCCCTCCTTCCCTGCTCACCTCCCTCCCTCCCTCCCCCCCTCCTGCACCCTCGCAGTATGTACAAGCAACAAGACGACCCCACCCTTTCCTCTGTCATGGTGGGACCTCCAGTCCTAGCCTACGCCGCAGGCTCGGCAGCAACCCATCATGCCTTACAGCAGTCCTCCGCCCAATCCTACCCCCAAAGCTCCTCCCAACCCTACCCCCAAAGCTCGACCCAGCCTTACCCTCCCCCACCCCCACCATACTCATTCGCCCAATACACAGCTCCACCCACCTCCGACCCTCTCGCTCCTCCCGACCAATCACATGCTCACACACAAGCCTCGGAAGCCGAGCCTTTGGCTCGGGATGCCTCAATGCCTCGAGACGAATCATTGCCGTACGACCCGTCCTTCCCACGCGATTCCTCCCTTGTCAACGATTCGTCCCAGTCGGCCCTCATACAACCTCAAAGTGATGCGTCGGGGAGAATAACTGCATCTGCCCACCCGGGTAACACGGTGCAGGGAGGAGGGCGGAGTACCGTGGGGGGAACTGGTGGGAACAACGGTAGCCCGTATAATTTGCCGACTGGGTTTGGTGCAAGTGGTTACGGAAGTGGCTATGGGTATACTGAGTTTAGGTAGTGGTACTCTAAGCGAATAGGTAGATCAAGTAGGCGTATGGGATATGTTGAAGTGTTTACCGGTAACTAAGTGTTGCACCACTGAGGTGCACTAAATGGTGTATGCAGGTGCAAATCGTGCATTTGTGTATTTCGGTTGTGCACTGTATGATAACTGGTTTCGTAGCCGTCTTGCGGATGCCATTCTAATGCGTGGCGGAAGAAAAAACATCTGCGCCGTTTCGCTATCGCCTCCTCACACGCGTCGCCGACAGCCTGTGCTTCGTAGCATAGGCTTTCAGATTGCACTGCATGCACACCCACCACCATCAGCAGCGCTCGTAGTCCTGGCCTGGTCCACTCCACGTAGAAGATTAATTTCACCAACAGAAACGCATCTCCATACACAATCCTCGAAATATCCCAGATCACCCTCGACGTGTATGCCTGAACTTTGGCCTTTCAATAGCATCTTCCATCATGTTCTTCTTCGCGCCCGACCCCATCTCGCTCGCCGTCAGCTCGGCGACGGGTCTAGCGGTTTTCGTCAGCCTCTTCACATCCTACTTGAACCCTTGGGACGACGACGACGACGCGCAGCAACACTGGCATTTCCCGCCGAAAGAATCCGCGGAGGCGCGTCGCGTCCGCTGGGCGCGCCACATCCGGCAGAGATTAAAGACATTGGTGGCGCTCGAGGAGCGCGTGCAGGGCAAGGCGCCGTGCACCGCGGAGCAGCTCATTCGCGAGATTCGCTCCGCGCGTAAGAGAAACCGGGGGTGCGAGCCTCAGCTGGCGGCAGCGGTGGCGGCGGCGGCGGAAGTGGGGGAGCGCGAGCTCGTGCGCCTGGCGCTGGTGCAGCTGCTGGTAGAGTCGGGCCCGCCCCCCGCGCTCTGCGCCATTCCGGAGGCGGAGGACGACACGGAGGAAGCGGACTATTGGGGGGAGGCAGAAGAGGCGGAATACAACAGCGGCGTGCGCTCCGCGCTGCTGCGTAGAAACAGAGGTTTGAGTGAAAAGTCTTGCGGGGGTTGCGCGCAGCGGGGGCCGGCGGAGGAATTTGTGGCGGCGGTGGCGGAGATGGAGGGCGCGGACCCCGTGTTCGCGCTGGGCCCACGGTACGCCACGCGGCGCGTAGTGCGGGAAGCGCTGGCGCTGCTGTCGGAAGGCTCCGCAGTTTCGCGCTGCGACGGCTGATCCATCCCTTGCTGCCGCTCGTCGCACATCGTCCGTCGTCGCACGTCGCCCGTTGTCGCACGTCGCACATCTCCCGTCCAAAGGCGTCGGTCGCAAATGTAGCAGCCGTCTGCCTGTCGTCGCGGGAGGTGGTCGCACACGAGCCGAAGCAGTGCGCTTGAGCAACCAAAGCGGTCCCACCGCGGCTGCCAGAGCTGATTAGTCTCATCAGCCGGCCATCAACTCTCTGCTAACCAGCCGGCCGCCGTCTTGTCTGCCGTCAAGCCGTCGGTGGTTAGGCCGTCAGGCGGCCAGCCAGTCATGGACTGCCACGGATCATCTAGCCCCCCAGACCGTTGATCCTCTCATCCGTAGCCTGGGATTGGGAATCCCAAGCGCGCCACGGCACAACCGCTGATGTTACAAACGGTTGGCCGCCAGGTGGTATGCAGTGCAGCGCGGTGCAGTGCGCAGCAGCATGCAGCAGCTCGCTCTTGCAGAAAGCAATGCACCTGTGCGGGTGAGAGCGGACAGAGCATATCTCTCAGGCCCCGCGCTGGGACGCTGCTCTAACGCCACTTTTCGTTCCCCCTGTTCTTCCGAAACCCATGTGCATCGCTGGGAGGAAGGGGTGGAGGCTGGTAAGAGTAAGATCAGATGACATATCCGAGACTACTGTATCAGGGCGAGGCGACCCTCTCCTGGTGCCCCTGTGGTCACCTTCCAGCTAGCGTTTGCGCAGGGAGCTGACTTACTAACCGTGCATGTTTTCTTTGTAGTTTTAACTGCTGGTGCCGTCAGGCTGTTGGCCTACGGCTGTTTTAGACACTTGACGCTTATGGTGGAAGGACCATAAAGAGCTGCAACACTTCTCAAAACGTAGTGGAGAGACCAAGAATCATATCTTGTCGCTGTAATGTGGATCCCTAGTGTTATGAATGAACTTGCAGAGTGCGCAGAATAACGAATAACGAGAATGATTGATTATTGAATGTCGATACAAGGAAAGTGCCGGGGCCTAAATAGGGGAATAGCTAGCTAGGCGGGGAGGTTGAGAAAGGATGGCTCGGTGATGGTTACGATTGGAGCGGGGGCCGACTCGGGGGTGGTTCGGTGCGACGAAATAGGCCCAACAGGTTCGTCGCGTGACCCTCGGGATGGCCTCGCTAACGAGTGCCTCAGTAAGGATTTGTAAATCCATACACCTAGGTCCTACACTTGTTCCCTAGGATCCCAAGAGTAAGGGAGGCTTTGTTCTTTATGAAAATGTATCTCGATATGGTGATCAAACAAATAGTAAGCTGGTCAATATGAAGCAGGAAACAGTGCTTGCTAGTCATGCCTAATGAACATAAATTGGTTTGGATGAACAGAAAACGGGATAGAAGAGCCAATACTGTACAAGACAGCTAGTGCTGCACAACGAGCGCTGTACAAGACAAGCAATGCTGCACGGCAATCTTGTCTCTTAGGGCAATCATTGCTCTCCGGGCAGCATGGTATCGCCCTCCGGTAGGTCACAGTAGCCGTTGTCCTGGCATGGTGGAGTAGCATAGGCATGGGGGAAGGATGCGCATAAGAGCATGCACACATCGGCGCATGCATACGAAATGCATGCACACATGCGCATACATACGTGTGTGCAAACATGCGGACATAGATGGACCTCCAACAGGGTTGCATTGTAGCAACAATACAATCCAGAGACTCGTCAACTAGCTGGGCTGGCAAGCGGGCACAGCAGCACATGTGGGTTGTGGGGAGCAGCGCAGCAAGGATCAGGACTCACGAGGCCTATGAGATGAGACACGCACTTCTTCTCCGCCACTAGCTTGTCCTCCGTCTGCAGGGGATACGGGTGAGAGACGGACAGGGGTGGTGGGACAGGGGTGGCGGGACAGGGGTGGTGGGGGAGGGGTGGTGAGAGAAGCGTGGTGGAAAGGGGTGGTGGGAGAGGGGAGGAGTGGGGTGGGACCAAGGAACAATGGCAAGTCTGTACATGGTAACCCCTCTTCCTAAACCCCCCACCTTGTTGCTGCGTGCCCTTATGTACTCATCCACTCTAACCCTGCACCTTCATGTGAGGCGACTGTCTCACCACCACCGTTCTCCGTGCACTGCCCGTAACCTTGGTGATCCCCTTCCCTCCCTTCCCCTTTCTTCAACCCCTTCATCTCACCTTCTGGCACGCAGGTAGCCCTCCACTATGAGCCCTTGTGAGGTCACTCTCTCTCACCACCACCAACACCTCCCATCACCCCCCCCCCTCACCTTGTTGATGCGAGCGCGCAGGTAATCATCCACTGTGAGCCCTGACGCCACCTCATGATCAACCCCCCTCCCCTCCCCCTCCCCTCCCCTCCCCCTCCCCCTCCCCCAACCCCCCTCCCCCTCCTCACCTTCTTGATGCGAGCGCGCAGGTATTCATCCACTGTAAGCCCGGACACTACCTCGTAGTCCCCGTCGCCCTGCCAGCCACAGCCATGGGGATTGCCGTGCAGGCAGGGAAGGGAGCGGAGGGGAAGAAGGCAGTGATAGTACTGTGAGTGGAAAGGACTGGGGTGGAGATGGTATGGGCAACAAAGCATCTATCGCCTGGTTGCAACACGGCCGGTGACATTAGCATTGTCATTCTGCCATTCCCAATCCACTCGACGCACACCATATGATACAGCGCTCTCTAAATGAGAGACGGATAGAGAGCTCGGCGCACACCGTACAGGCCACACCACACCCTCTGAGAGCTCTCAGAAGTGATTCAAAGAGGAAAGGAAGGGGGTGGGTTGGGGGGTGCGCAGTGAGCGAACATTTGAGAAAATGGCCGTGACCTCAGTCATCTCAGTCAACCCACCTTGGAGCGGCAAGGCAGGCTGAAGATGAGGTCATCATCGATGCCGTAGGTATTCCCCTTGGTGTACACGCCTGTTGAGAACCAGTCTCCCTCCGCCGTGGGCGTGGTGAGTGCTCTGATGGCATCCACTAGTGACACGGCTGTTGATGCTGCTGACGACCGCCCCCACTTCTTGATGAGGGCACCACCACGCTGTACCCAGAGGGACAGGGGATGGGGGAAGGGGGGGGGAGAAGAGGGTGGGCGTGGTGAGCGCTCTGATGGCATCCACTAGTGAGACCGCTGTTGATGCTGCTGACGACCGCCCCCACTTCTTGATCAGGGCGCCACCACGCTGCATGCAGAGGGGAAAAGGAGGAGACGAGTGGACGAGTGAGAGGGGTGGGTGTGCGGGGAGGAGGGTAGTGCGGGGATGGGGTGACACAGATGACACGCCATTGCGACACTCGTTGAGGCACGCATTGGGGGTTTACGTGTTCCAATCCAGTGCACGCCCCTCGACTCAAAAGTCACCTCATTGGGGATTTACGTGTCCCAATGCAATGCACGACCCTCCAGCCACTGGCGGTCATGACTCATAAGTCACCACGGCTCTTTCTTCGCCCTGCCCCCACCCACCCACCATTTCACCGCCCCACCCACCGTCTGCACTTGCGGCGTGAACTGCTCCTCCAGCCACTTGCGGTCGCGGATGACGTCTGTTGCTGGGAAGCCCATGATGCGCGCATTCACGAAGTCTGGCACCTGGTGGGAGGAGGGGGGAGGAGGAGGGAGGAGGAGGGAGGAGGGAGGAGGAGGGAGGAGGGGCAACAACGAGGGGGATGGAAGTGCGAAGGTGAGAGGGGGGTGGGAGGAGTGTAAAGGGAAGCCCAGGATACGCGCATTCACAAAGTCAGGCACCTGGGGGGTAGACGGGGCGAGGGGAGAAGTGGGGAGGAGAATGAGAAGGAGGGGGAGAGGAAGTGAAGCAGGATGGGGGAGAGAAAGGAGGAGTGAGGCGGGGAAACACAATTACGAAATTCAAGAGCGAAAGGAGATCTGAGCGCGAAAGACAAGCAGATTGAAGGAGAGAAGAGGGAGGTAAGGAGAGGAGGGAAGAAAATAGGGCTGAAAAGAAATGGAGACGGGGAGAGAAAATAGGAAGGGAAGAGGCACGGAAGTGGAGGAAGAGGAGGGAAAAGGGGGAACAGGAGGAAGAGGGGGAAGAGCAGGTCACCATGGTGGTGGAGTGGTTGCCCCAGATGGTCATGTTGGATATCTTGTCATAGAACACCCCCGCCTTGAGTGCTAGCTATGGACCCACACCCACAGAGACACACGCACACAAATAGACACGAACGGAGATGATCAGGGACGAAGACACAGAGAGCAGGTGGCAAGGAGGATGAGAGCAAGTAGTGCGAGCCAAGTGGTGAGAAGGTGGTGGTGGCACACAGAAGGAGGGAAGACGCTTGCATCGAGCCAAGAGCAATGCGACATGCATGGTGGGAGAGAGCACGAGACGAGCAGCGAAGGGTGTAGCTAGCAGGCACAGGTGCACATGCGATGCAGCAGCCCCACCCACTCATTCACCCACCATCCACACCCACCAGACCCAACCACCATCCCCAAATCACCTGGCACTTGGCGCGGTTCTCATCCAGCTTGGTAAGTGCGTGGAAGTTTCTGGGGTTGAGCTTGGGCGCGTTCTTGAGACAGATTAGCGCACTGCCAGGGGGGGCGGGCGGGGCGGGGTGGAGTGGAGTGGAGTGACGACACCAAGGAGGGCAGCAGGCAGGGGGTACAAGCAGGGTTGGAAGATCCGGGGTTAGAAGACAGATACTGAAGCTTCCAAGCCCCACCATATCCGAGTCAGCACGACCTGAAAGCACGACCTGAAAGCACGACCTGAAAGCACGACCTGAAAGCACGACCTGAAAGCACGACCTGAAAGCACGACCTGAAAGCACGACCTGAAAGCACGACCTGAAAGCACGACCTGAAAGCACGACCTGGAAGCACGACCTGGAAGCACGACCTGAAAGCACGACCTGAAAGCACGACCTGAAAGCACGACCTGAAAGCACGACCTGAAAGCACGACCTGAAAGCACGACCTGAAAGCACGACCTGAAAGCACGACCTGAAAGCACGACCTGAAAGCACGACCTGAAAGCACGACCTGAAAGCAC